TCTGTTCTTGAAAAAGTTATTTTCTTGCCTTAAATAATATATATATAATTATTTATTAAGCATATTAATTACTACACATATATCTTAACAACTATTATAGGTATTCAAGCTCACAAATTTGATTTTAGCTTATTTAAAATTTAAATTTATATTTTTAATCGCTGACCAATTATAATTTCGCATTGCATACTAACGGGCGCCGCCAACGACGACGACAACGACAGTTGTGAAAAGCTGAAAAGCTGAAAATCGGAAAGGCGGAAAGCCGGAAAAGCACCGGCAAATGCTGTCGGAAATTATGGTTTCCCAAGAAAACAAGAAAAAAGGCAAGCAGGAGGCCAGGGCTCTCCTCGGCGACTGATCGCCGCTCTGTCCAGGCCTGGCCTCCTTGCCGCAGACTATCTGTCACTTGATACTAAGCTAAGCCCCGCTCACTCGCCATTACCTTTGTTGAGATTCCCCACACACACACAGACACACACAGTGGGCCAAACTCGGACCAGGTCCAGTTTGGTGTGCACTCTTGTACGGGCGCTGACCAGCCAAGCATTCCAAGCTGCCCCCATGCCCCGGCCCCGGGGATGCCATAGAAGTGCCACGGCCCCGTTCTCTCCCCCTTGGTCAAAATGTTATTTAATTTTTCAACACCCCGCGCAAAATGGGGATGAACACTGCAGCTGGATGGGACTCCTTTGGGCCCAGTGATTGTGGGCAGTTGCAGATCATATTTCCATCCCATTCCCCCGGGGGTGCTGGTCAAGCACCTTTTGGGAAACCTGCCTCAATGTCTGGCTCTCTTTTCGGTGCTATATGTGCGATATATGCTTGCTTTCCGATTTCCGATCGAAGAAGAGTCGCGCGACAAAAGCCTGAAAAGTAGGCAGCGTTTCGGGGGACACACACTAATGCCCCTTAATAATATTACACACAAACGCACACCGCGCCACGCACACACATCTAAGTCTTCGCGCTCGGCTTGGGTTTTACAGGCGCACACACCACACACACACACACGCTATACACACGGCACATACACACAGGCATATCGAAAACTTAAACAAGTTAAATACAAGAGGGATGCAACGCCGCTGCCGCTGTCAACGTCGACGGCAACGTCAACGTCTCTCACCTGGCACTATAAAAGGTGAACGCCTGACAGAACAATGTCTCAGTTAAATGCCGTTAATTGGACGACAACCAGCAGCAGGTGCCAGGATCTACAGAACTAGAAAAGAAACTAAAAAATAAAACAAAAAACTATAAACTACAAACAACAAAAGAGAAAGCGAATTAAAAAATATATCAAATAAAATGAAAACAATTATTTTTTTAAGTGCACACAGGATAAAATCGTGAAAAACACACAAATTCATTTTTTTTACTGGTGGTTAAGTGTTTTCTAGCGCCAAGGATAATAGGAGAAATCTCTAGATATTTTAAAAACCATTTTTTAAAAAGAAGCATAAAAACACCGTGTTATTTTGGAATATGCAATAAGCATAGCCTACTTTTGTGCAGCAGTTTGTAAAGGATTTAGAATCAAGTGAAAAAATTGCTATATTAAGCTCTTCTGGGATTTACCCCAAGGACTTGCAGAACTTTTAGGCAGCCTTTGTTTTAGGAGATTCAAAATCATTTGAATCTCTCTCTTGAATGTATTCTACAAATTACCAAAAGGGAAATATGAGAAATATTGCCTGCTTCTAGGCATCCGTTTTAAAAGGATTTAGAATTATTCCGAAAAAAAAAATAAAAAATAAAATAATAAAAAAAAAAGATATAAAAACCACTAATTATGACACTTCTTTGGTTTCGTTCCCCAAGATTTTAGAAAGATCTTTTTAAACAGATTTCAAATCACTGGAAATTGAAACCATTCACCAACCTAATTAGCGTCCTCGAGAAGGCCTCTCGATTTGCCAAGAAAAGCGACTTCCAATTGAAAATCAATAAAAAGCCAGCTGTCCAGCTAAACGACAACGTCGATCCATATTAATATAATATTCAAAAACGTGCCGCGGCCCCCCAAAGCGCCTGCGACGCGAATAACCTAGCCTGGAATTTCGACCATATGTCGCGGGGCATCCTCATCACTTATTTAGCACTTCAGCAGCAGTTCGGCAAAGCCCACAACTAACTGTTGACCCCGTATTTTAAAACCCAAAACCCAATATATCCTTCCTGTGATTCAGTGATTCAACGAGACTCTATAAAAAGGTGCTTATTGCAGCTGCTGGCCACTGCACAAGATTAGACTTAAGACTCTTGTGCGTGTGACAGCGGCTATTGTAAGAGGCCATAGAAGCAACTAAGTCATCATGCCGAACCCGGTGCCCGATACCAGCTCCTCCGATTGCCCTGGAAGCCCTACAAGGTGGCCTAATGCAATTATTACAACGACTACAAGTATGCCAACTCATTTTCCTTGTGTTTCCTCAATTATTTGGGGCATTCAATTGGACAAATTTAGTTTGTTTTTGTTTTAATGTTATAATTAATAAACAAATTAATTAATTTAAATTAATTTAATTTATCGCAAGACCCTACATTTAATTTTAATATTTAAGAAAATGTTAAATTCTTTAAAGAAAGTGTGTCATTCTTTTATATATATAAAATATATTTAAAATATTTAAAACAAAGTCTTAAATATAAAATTTTCAGGATAATCAAGTAAAAGTACTTATGCTAAGGAGTGTAGCTTAGACTCGTTCCACAGGACCTAAAATATTTATAATTTTACCAACTACTACTCACTAATATATTTAAACATTTTAATCACTTTTTATTGTTTGCATTCAATAAATTGTGAGCTTAACTAATTATTTTCTGCATAACCATCACTTAACTTAATATTAAAAACATACTATTATAAAAAATACTAATATTATTAATAATATAATAATACGTATAAAGAGCACACGGCTCGGGGAGTATGGGTATGGAATCACAGAAATTTGTAATAAATAGAAATATCTTTTGACGCCATTAAAGTCAAATGGAACTTCCTAAGCAGATCCGCCCGCGAGGTCTCAAGGATAATTGGTCTTCTTCAGTTTGGACCCATCTAGCAGGACCGCCAAGTCTCCGAATTTTATGTTAACAGTAATTTTGTATACAAAAATGTCTAAGAAACGAAGGAGAATTATGCAATAAATTTAAATAATAAATCATTGTTTATAAGGATATACATATATTCAAATAAATATTTTGTATGCATAATAATAAAGGTGACATATATGACTTTTGGTAAAAGACCTGATATATTATAATTCTAGGACATTCGATCGATATTTATCGGTATCTTTTCATGATACTTTTAAAGAAGTAATAACAAAGCCACAAATGCACTCCTTTCAATTTGAAAAGCTTTTCTGTGTTCGTTTTTAGGTTACAAAAATTTGCACATTGAGTTGAGAAATTTCAAGAAATATATATTCTTAAATTGTTGATAATTTTAATGATATGAACAATTTAAAAAAATATTTTCTAAAATGTATTTCCCAATTTTTTGTAATATTTTTAAATTAATAATTAAGTTTTTCGGAATACTGGGACTTTTTTTGTCCTTCAGAAGATGTGAAAAAAATACTTATTCTACGTATATGTACATGTAAACAATGCAAAAAAACACTTATTTTTTATGGGTTATCTATTATATAAAAATAAGTCGAGTTTTCTGCGGGGATCAAATAACTCCAGAACGCACGAACCGATTTCCACGGTTTTGCATTCGTTGGAAAGGTCTCGGAATTTGTGATTTTTTGCAGTAAAGAAAATTCAGGAAAAATTGCAACAGAAAGCGGGAAAATCATTTTTGCATAAAGCGCCAACACTGACACATAGTATGCCATAATTCTCTACTCAGTTTATTTTATGACAAATCGAAATTGTGTTCAATTTTGAGTAAAATAAGTTATTCGTTTCATATCAGTGCAATTGGAAACCAGCATTTGTATTTAGGGTGGTAAGTTGAACTGTGTAAATTATGTGGATTAGAGGTTAAATTAACCGCTCTGCCTATAGTCGAAAATGCCTATAGCACGACGTGTGAACATCGGTCTCCGCACAAGGCATGCAATCCAGCAACAAGTGTATTCACAGAACTTAAGCGAGGAGAGACGAAATGTAGTAAGGGAAAATGCCCGATTGAGACAATGCGTGGGCACACGAAGATCAACTGGTGTGCAGCATCTAAGCGGATCCCAACCAGCGTGGCAGGCTCCTAACAGCAGCCTTCCTCGACATAGCCATCGACCTCAGGACAAATTTCAAGAATCCTGAGATAGAGTGCTAGAAAATATTCGTTATCCGAAGGCGTCGCGGGTGAGACCGTGCCCCCGGTGTTGCCCATATCCGTTTTGTCCACTGGAGGGTCCCAACAGTTGTGCTCTCAGAGCCCCAGATCCCTACCAGGGCGTCAGGCCCGGACTACCGTCCGAAATTGGTAAGGCGGATAATCAGCTTACCTTGAAAAAACCCCTTATGGCAATACCACCAACGAGACAGTTTCATCTTTCCTCCATTGTCGGAACTTCCTATTTATTGAAACCATCTTTCCGCTATTCAGTTGGTCTCTAAAAGACTTTCGGATAGGGACCACTTAGTTTGTAGTTCTTGGTGATTTAAACATCCCAGGGGCTATTTGGTCCTTAGATAATTCCATTAACCACAATACATCACAAAAAATGTGGTTTACACTTCAATTAAACGGATAATTTGCCAAAGGTGGCGTAACGGAGTTCGCCTGGCTTACTAGTATTTCATAAATAAATATCAAGAAACATTAATCTAGTGCTTCACGTTTAGCTAAATGATATGGAAATCAAATTTGACGTCTCCATCTCTAGTAATTGCAGTTTTTCCTGATCAAGGGTTTTTCCCCTAAAATTACGGGGTTTTTTTCGGGTTAGCGTTACCAGACCGCGCGTTCATTAGGGTTTCAGCGTTTTAGTGTGCCCAGAAGCCACGAAGTTTTGTAAAGATTTTTTAGGGGAAAGCCCAATTTGCATCTGGCAGCACTGAGTAATTGTGATACCAAATAAATATCTGGCCAGGATCGGGGACCAAAACCCGGGAAAAAGGAGCAACAGGACCGCCTAAAGAAGCATGACACCGCCACCGACGACAGCGCAGAACGTACCGCAGCCGCAACAGTTCGAGAACACCTCGCTGCCGCCGCCGCCACCACCGCCAACGGGGCAAAACATAGCGCCGTCGGGCGCGTTTCCTGGTGAGTTCTGAATGGCTTTCCACGCTTAGACCTGATGTATCTCATGTTTGCGTTCCCGTTCCCCATCGGCAGGTTCACTTACACCCGGCTGGAATGATCCGCCGCCAGTGTCGGCAGACGCTTTCACCAGCAACGCGGGCAGCCGACGCCCACGTCTCGATCTCCGCAAGCGCGTGGCCCATCCGCTGGACGGACAGCCCGGCTACGTGGCGGCACCAGCAGAGATAGCCTCACCCCGACCAGTGGCCATGGTGCCGCCCCAACGTCAGATGCCGTATCCAGATGCCAAAGGCGGCTCAGGTGCAGCAGCAGATGCGGGTCCAGGAGCGGGATTGGCCAATATGCGACTGCCACCGTTGGCGCAGGATATAAGCGTCGATCCGTCCAGAGTGCCTGTGGCCAGGGTTACGCCACGGCAGAAGTAGCAGACAGACGAGGCGAGGCGAGGCAAGGCAAGACGTTGCGTGTTTATCACGTCCATAGGTTAAGGTACTCCACTCCAAATTGCTGTGTTCCGGGCGGGGGGCAAGAAAATCAATATTTTTCTATGTAAATCCACTTAAGGCATTAAAATACCATATAAAATGAAAGGGCCGGGTAAAATGAGCCCCTAAATCCTGCAAGATTTATCTTTATATTAGCCCCGACAGGCGCTTAACTTTAAATGAATGAAGGATGAAGTGAACTCTTAACTTCACCTGGAATATAATCATTGGAGGCGTTCCAGAAGTCTCTAGAAATTTGTAATCCCCCCTTGTTCACACTTGAGCTATTAACCTGCTTTTCAGGCACACAAAGTGTTAGGTATAATCAACAACAATCAAGAAACAAGAAATTATAATGCACGATAGTTCAAATGCTACTGGTTGAGCCCTTCACCAAGGCAACTGGGTGCCATCAAAGTTAAGGAAGCTGCCGTTCTGCTTCTCGCTCAGATCGCAGATGGTCCTCACAATCTGGCCCGTGCTGGTGGGCACATCCAGGGGGGCATTGCTGCCGCCCATGTCAGTGCGCACCCAGCCAGGATGCAGGCTGACGCATAGGATGCGCTGCGGCAACAAATCGATGCTCATCGACTTGGTGGCCGCATTGAGAGCCGACTTGGAGGTGCGATACGCGTACATGGCACCGTCCGTGTTCAGCTGAATGGAGCCCAGTATCGAAGACATGTTGATGACGGCAGCCCGACCCACGCCCATCGGCTGGGATGCGTTCAGCTTAGCCGCCTTGTTCAGCAGCGGCAGGCAGGCCTTGGCCAGCATTATGGGCACCACCGTGTTCGTTTGCAGCGTATCCAGCAGATCCTGCGACCGGGTAGCCGTGATCCGCGTGGACTTGGGCGCAATGCCGGCATTGTTGAAGAGCACATTGAGTCCCTGATCCTTGGTCACGCACTCGATATCAGCAACCAGCTTGTCATAGGCCTCGAAATTCCTCAGATCTAAGGGGGATCCAACAATTTACGGTTTTTCATTCATAAATTCTACGAAGGATAATCGAATACTCACCAATCTCCAGGATATGGATGTTGGCGTGCTTCTTGGCCAGATCCTCCAGTTCCTGTGGGGGGAAAATTATTAAAGCCATTTAAAAACATTTCGAAATTCGATGGCAAGTTCTAGCACCGAGCCGATCACTGCCTATCGATTGGCGTGCCGCAATGGCGCTCCCCGAGAATGGGCACACTAAAGACGAAAAGCGTACAAAAGCTATTGCAAAAAGTTAGCGCCGCTTATTTCCCATCTGCGTTTCGTGCCTTTGCCGTCGAAGCGAACCGCCCACACACACTCCGTTCGGAACTACCAGTAACTGTTTTCTCTTCGAACCGTCGTCTCAGAGACTCTTTCCGCGTCGCAGCACCATATACTATCCGTTGCTGATCCTTTCGCTGAGCCTTATCCACTTGGACAAACTCCCGGAGACACTGAAAATGGCGCCCGTGCAAGGTGAGTAGTCGTTTTGCGGAATCGGGTTCCAAGTCCCAAGCCGGATTAGCTTTGCTAGTTAGTTGTTATTGTGTTCTTGTGGATTGTTCGCGTAGTTTCTCGGGGTGTGAGTCACGCCGCCCGGTCACCGATTAGCGCGTCCAGCGGTCACTGGTGTTAACCCCCTGCTTACCGTGGCCTGCGCCCGACTGCGGCATGTTGTAAAGAGATGCTGCGGCGGCTGAGGCAGGGCCACCAGCGCCTTGACCAGGCCCAGACCGAGGCCGCGGTTGCAGCCCGTTATCAAGATGGAGTTCATGTTTTCCGTTTGTTCTGCGAGTCGCTGCGTCTGTGATGTGATCTCTTGCGGAATGAAATCTAATCTCTGGCCCTCGCTACGCCTGGCACTCGAGATTAAGGCCAACTAATGAGTTGTCCAGTCGTGAGGGTGCAATAAAAAGCGCTCGCGGCGGAGGAACTATGGTGACTGGTTGGGCCAACTATTCCCGTGGATTTCACCAGATCGTCCGCTTATCGGCGGCCCGTACACGACTTTATTGGCGTATCAAATAAAAACGGAAAATCATTTGACTGGCCGCCGGCACAGCTGGCAGTGTTGCCAACCATCTGCTAGTTATCGATACTACTGCGCATTGCCAAACGTGCGAAACTCGAAAAACGCTTCAAATTCTAAATCGGAACTGTTGCTGCAGCCGTGGCCGCTTCTAATTGGAATGCGTTCGTTTCCAATTGCATGCTAATGAAGGCACACATGGGCCTAACAGAACTTCTCTATAATCTGTTGCTTCTCATTTCGATTCTGCCGCCGTTGCCGCAGCTGCGCTATCGGCATTCCGCTTTGCCACGCGCATTCGCATCTGCGCTGCTTCTGTTACGTAGCCACCGCCGTCTATCGGCGCATTCCGCTGCCCACCGCCTTCGCAGCATTCCCGGCCAGACATCGACGCGTTTGTGTTGTGTGTTCCTCCGCTCTTTTCACAATTTCTTCGCGAAACACCGCCATTGTTACCCCCCCGGGCTGATTGAGGTGAAAGTTAACCAAGGGTGAGAGGGAGCCGCTAAAGATGTCGCTCACCCTGTGGAGCTCGAGATGCTCCGTCACGTTTGTGCGGCAGTGCTCGACGATTTTTACGTCTAACTTCTGCCCTGGCCCCGTCTCCGTCTCTGGCATTCTCCAACACAATTCTCACTCTCCACATCAGCTGCTCCATCATCAGAGAACCATGAGCTCCGCTGCACTTGGACGTCAAGATGGCGGCACACAGTCGCGGGGCAGCACCTCCGGGGCGGCGAGCGGTGTGCCGCCCTTCAAGCATCCCCACTGCGACCGCCAGGCCATGTACGCCCAGCCGGTGCGACAGATCAGGAACAAAGGAGGTGAGCGTCGATATCGATAGCAGCAATACGATCGGTCGGGGTTGGCAACGCGGAGGCGGTCGACCGCCGATAGTCGGGTTACGCGTCAATAATTGTGCGTTTTTCTTTGTTTTTGGGGTTTCTCTTGTTACCTCGCCGCTGCCGGCATTATGCAATAACCGTTAGTTGTGAAAGACCACAGACCCGCTTATCTGCGGCACGTATTCGCAAGGGTTTTATATGCCGGCATTCGTACATACTCCACATCTGCACCGTCATCGGCCCAACGGCAATCGTTCGCCCACCACACCCCCCGCACCAAGTCCAACTGGAATACAGCGGCGGTGGAGAGATTAGCATACACATACCAACCAAAGATCAATCATGCTCCCCAAATACAGCCACTTGCTGTGCGCCCTGATTGTGGGCGCAAAGAAGACGGCTTTTCAGACAAAAGGTGGCTAAGTCTAGATTTGGGACGTTGAGTAGTAGCTTCCCTTTCTAATTCTAACTTTAAAGGCAATTTAATTTGCAGAAAACTGTAGAAAGAATCTGCCTAGAATTAATCGATAATCAATGGTTAATTGACTTTCATGAAAACTGGTTTGGTTTGCATTTGTAATATAAATATTCAAGAAATCAATATACATTTAGAATTTATTAGTAATTTTTTGTAAAATATTGAATATTACTTAGTATGTATGAATTTCGTAGGCAAAGATGCTCTTGGGCGATACAGATACCACCTACAACCCTTTGCGGAATGTTCGAGAACCTTTTGGTTGGTAGTGGTGGCCATGATGATGATGATGATTTCACCATATCTGTCGTGTGCAGTCCACTTATCGCTGCTCGGTGCTCGGGGTTCGGGCAAACACATCTTCGATAATTGCATCGTCACAGCCACCTCTTCCGTCATCGTAATAACATTTAGCAATTAATTGCAGCATGACGATATTGTTTATAACATATTGTTGTGCATATAGTAATCTAGGAGCTAAACAAACAAACAGAAAGCTTAGGTGGGAGTGATACCAGCCGATAAGGCCTTGCCTTTTAAGGGCGTAACCATGGCAAATCCGGTGGGCCAAAGCAAACCAAAGGCAGGGCGTGGGCGTTAGCTGGGGGGCGTTCAGGAGGCGTCACTCCGTTGGGGTCATGTCACAGATGATTGCCCCAGTTTGATTTGCTGGCGGCCAAGGCGGCATGGCATGTGGCAGCTCTCTATCGCCGCCTGGCATCTAGGAAAAGCTTCCTTTCCACCAAGGACCAAAAGGAGAAAAGATTGCTGGGCACCGATTGCAGATTGCAGGACGCCAGTCTTGCTTCCAATTTCAATCCCAATGCATCTGTTTGAATTTGTGCCCGCTTCCCAGCTGACCGAGGGTGAACCGCGCCACCGGAGGAGCATATACCGCTCCGCCTATCTGGACATACGCCTGCGCGAGGTGCCAGCGGCAGACAGGAGTGGGTTAAGGGCATTTTTAAAGTGATTAGTGATTAGCTGATAATTTGGTAGAGGCAAAAATCATGATATTTTTGTGGTTTTAAAGGGTTTTATGGATGCTTCGTTGTAGCCAAAAAATGCCAGCTAACCTGTGATAAAAATGCTTTCAATTCCAAAATGAATCAACAAATTATTCACAGCAAATGAATAAATAAACGGGTGAGGAAACCCAAGTTGATTCATTCGGTTCTTGACGAGATTGCATTTATTTTAGGAATATGTATAGGCCTAATAAACATCTATATCCCCTCTAAAATTCCACCTATTTTTTTTAGGTTCCTACGATTACGACCTGGTTGTAATTGGCGGCGGCTCAGCTGGCCTGGCCTGCGCCAAAGAGGCAGTCCTAAATGGAGCCCGCGTTGCCTGCCTGGACTATGTTAAGCCCACGCCCACTCTGGGCACCAAGTGGGGCGTCGGTGGCACTTGCGTGAATGTCGGCTGCATACCCAAGAAGCTGATGCACCAGGCCTCGCTGCTGGGCGAGGCTGTTCATGAGGCAGCCGCCTACGGCTGGAATGTGAACGAGAAGATCAAGCCGGACTGGCACAAGCTTGTCCAGTCTGTGCAGAATCACATCAAGTCTGTCAACTGGGTGACTCGTGTGGATCTGCGCGACAAGTAAGTCAATCCTTTGGAATGCGATGAAAAATATCCCTGTAACATAATTACGATTCTAGGAAAGTGGAGTACATCAACGGATTGGGCTCCTTTGTGGACACACACACCTTGGTGGCCAAGATGAAGAGCGGCGAACGCACACTCACCGCCCAGACCTTTGTTATTGCCGTGGGCGGACGACCACGTTATCCGGGCATCCCCGGTGCCGTGGAGTATGGCATCACCAGCGACGATCTGTTCAGCCTGGAGCGTGAGCCCGGCAAGACCCTGGTCGTCGGTGCTGGTTACATTGGATTGGAGTGCGCCGGCTTCCTCAAGGGCCTCGGCTATGAGCCCACCGTTATGGTCCGTTCGATTGTCCTGCGCGGCTTCGATCAGCAGATGGCCGAGCTGGTGGCCTCCTCGATGGAGGAGCGCGGCATTCCCTTCCTGCGCAAGACCGTGCCGCTGTCCGTGGAGAAGCAGGACGATGGCAAGCTGTTGGTTAAGTACCAGAACGTGGAAACCGGCGAGGAGGGCCAGGAACTCTACGACACCGTGCTGTGGGCCATTGGTCGCAAGGGTCTGATCGAAGATCTAAACCTGCCCAAGGTCGGTGTTAAAGTTCAGAAGGACAAGATCCCCGTGGACACATTGGAGGCTACCAATGTGGCGAACATCTTTGCCGTCGGCGACATTATCTATGGCAAGCCGGAGCTGACGCCCGTTGCCATTCTGGCCGGTCGTCTCTTGGCTCGCCGGCTGTACGCTGGATCCGAGCAGCGCATGGACTACCAGGATGTGGCCACCACCGTATTCACACCCCTGGAATATGCCTGCGTCGGCCTCAGCGAGGAGGATGCGGTAAAGAAGTATGGTGCCGATGAGATCGAGGTTTTCCACGGGTACTACAAGCCCACAGAGTTCTTTATCCCCCAAAAGAGCGTTCGCTACTGCTACCTGAAGGCGGTGGCTGAGCGCCATGGCGATCAGCGCGTCTATGGACTCCACTACATTGGACCCGTTGCCGGTGAGGTGATCCAGGGATTCGCGGCCGCCCTTAAGTCCGGCCTGACCATCAATACGCTGATTAACACTGTGGGCATTCATCCCACGACCGCCGAAGAGTTCACCCGGCTGAACATTACCAAGCGCTCCGGAGCCGATCCCACGCCGGCCACCTGCTGCAGCTAAGCGGGATCCGCAGTTGATGACGATGAATGGTTGTTGCCGCTAGCCAGCGATCGAAGAGTTCAACAGTTCCGTTTAAGTTTCCGCAATTAAAACAAAAAAAAAATAACCCACACAATAGTAGCTCTGCGCAAGCCACGGGCTCTGGGCACTGGAGGCACTGGGGATAAACGCTTCGTTCGGCTACGGTGGAACTCTCGCGACCCGCGATACCCAAGCAGCCCATCCGACATGCACTCAAAATTTTGAATTTGTTAAAGAAAAAAATACCATGAAATTAACCATGAATTCCCCTAAATGTACGGTAGAAAAATATAATTTTTCACCAAAAAAAAATTGGTTTCTTTTGATTTTTGGGTAGTTTTTTAGTTGGGAGAAAATTCGAGCTAAATGAATGTCCTAAGCCATGTATATCTTTTAATAGTAGCTATACGAATCACCTGAAATTGTACACTCTAGTTGGAGCTACAAGAGTTTTCCTTTAATCTTGATCTTTGGTGGAAAACAACAACAGGGATTCCTGTCACTTATGGCTCTTTTGGGAGTAAGGCCCCATTTAATACCTTTTCTTTCCTCAAGAAATCAATCAGTTAACTCGATGCCTTGGCTGTTTGCCCTTCATCGGATATGCATGGATAATGGTAATGGCCCAGGTAGGTTGCCCATATCCGATTCGACTTGGTCTAATTGAAAATTCAATTGCGATGTAGATTTGTGCCTTCTGTGACGAAGCACGACCTGTGGGGGTTATCCACTAACTAGGTTTAATCAGTGGAAAAGCTTTTAAGGGCCCGATCGTCGCTCATTTTCCCCATGGAACAGAGCGAGAGGGCAATGTCTGCCAAGCGAAATTGAATCTGATATGTACGTAGTACATACATATATCAGTGTTTTCCACAGAATCAAATCGAGCCTCTGCTCACACCGATGGGAATTCCTATCAGAATCCCCCAGAAATCGTACGGGGAATGCAATTTTGGAACCGCTCCTTGCCCACACATTAAGGACTATCTCTCTCTCTTGATATTTTTCTATTACATTTTTATTTTGTTTTTTCCTATTTCTCGTATTGAATAACTCCCTCTTTGTTTTGAACAACAACAAAAAGACTCTTATTTTTTCTCCTTTACAACTGCCCCAGCGCTGCCGCAGCCACAGATTGCTGATCCTGATCCTGCTCCTGCGCTGACTGGCTCATCCTGCGGCGACTCATGGTGCTGTCTAAAAACGGTTCGTACGTAATTTATGGGAGTGGCGGGGCCACAAGCGAAGAGCAGAGTTAAAAAAAAAAAACACATTAATTAGTTAGTTTGTTTAGATCAGAAGAGGCGCCCGCCCTAGATGGCAACGCTCTGCTTGGCCTCGTTCTCCCGCTGCTGCTTGTTGACCGCCGATATGCACTTGGCCATGGTGGGCGAGGCGCGTGAAATGGCGTCGGTCATAAAGTAGTCGCGCAGCTCCTTCAACTTGATGTCAATGGGGCCGCCGCCAATGGATTTGCTCTGCAAAAGGAAAAAGAAACATATTCTATAGATCCTTGTAAAACGATGGAAGGACGTCTTCTTACGGCGCCCGCTGCACCGGCCTCGCCGGCTGGCTCCAGTTGACCCAGGCGCGTTAGATGCGGCGCCACATCCTCCAGGCGGTTGCGCAGCTCGTCCAGGTTGTCATATGGCAGCGGCTTGCCCACCACCTCGGAGAGAGCGCGCAGGATCTTCCAGTCCTCGCGGGCCATGCCCGGTGGCGAGACACCCGGCAGCGTCTGCTGCGGCCTGCCCTCAGTGTTCACATAAATTCCTTGCTTCTCGGTATAGGCGGCACCTGGCAGCACGGCATCGGCAATGGAGGCACCATTATCGCCATGCGAACCGATATACACAACAAAACAGTCCTTGGGCAGCTGCTCGCGGGTCACCTTGCCGGCATCAGCGTTCAGCAGGAAGAGCACCTTGGGCTGAGCCTTCACGGCGGTCTGGGCACCGGCCTTGTAGCCCACATCGAAGGCGCCCACCTGGGCGGCGTTTGTCTGCAGCACATTGAAGGGGTTCCAGTCCTGCAACCACAAGAACCACAACGTGTCAATGAAGCCACTCAGGTGCTCAGGGAGACGCAACTCTACTCACCGGCTTCTTTAGCTTCTTGCAGTAGTCGGCGATGGTGGCATGAATGGCGCCGCCATCGGGACGCTCCAGCAGATCGGCACCGATAATGATGGCCGGCTTCTTGGCACCCTCCAAGACCTTGGAGAAGGCGTGCGATCCAGAGCAAACGTCCTTGATTAGAGCGGCATCGGCGCCAAGGTTCTCGTGCTCGTAGGACAGATCGATCTTGGGTCCAATCGAGGCAATCTGCAGTTCGTTGTGAACGTACGCCTTGCGGAGACGGGTGTTGACCAGAGGAGCCTCGTAGCGCGGATTGGTGCCCACCAGAAGCACGGCATCGGCCTCTTCCAGGCCGGCAATGGTGCTGTTCAGCAGGTAATTGGCCCGGGAGTCAGTGCCGCCCTGGACGAAGCCCTGCTCGGTGGCAACCGCCTCGCTGCCCAGCTTGTTTAGCAGATCCTTGAGGGCCACCTGAGCCTCCAGATCGGCCAGCTGTCCCGAAATGCCGGCCACCTTGCCGTTGGCCGCCTTAACGGCCTTGGCCACCGCAATGAGGGCGCCCTCCCACTCAACGGCCTGCAGTTCGCCGTTCGGCATGCGGACCATGGGTGCCACCAGGCGCTGGCGCTTCAAGCCGTCGCAGGCGAAGCGCGACTTGTCCGCCAGCCACTCCTCGTTGACGTCCTCATTCTCACGCGGCAGGATGCGCAGCACCTCGTTGGTTCGGGTGCTGACCACGATGTTGCTGCCGACGGCATCGAGCACATCGATGCTGCTCACCTTGCGGATCTCCCAGGGACGGGCCACGAAGCTGTAAGGCTTGTTGGTCAGAGCGCCCACCGGGCACAGGTCGATCACATTGCCGGAGAGCTCGGTGAGGAAGAGCTTCTCCACATACGTTCCGATTTGCATGTCATTGCCACGACCCGTGGTGCCCAGATCATCCACGCCGGCGATCTCGGAGGCGAAGCGTATGCAGCGAGTGCAATGGATGCAACGAGTCATGATGGTCTTGACCAGCGGTCCAATGTCCTTGTCCTCCACAGCTCTGCAAAAGCACAAAAGGAGTAGCAGTAATGCTTGTTCCCCTTCCAAAGAGAATCATTCTCCCTACCGCTTGCCGGTGTAGTTGATGTCGGTGAAGCGGGAGCGATCGGAGCCAAAGGCCATGGCCTGATCCTGCAGATCGCACTCGCCGCCCTGGTCGCAGATGGGGCAATCCAGCGGATGGTTCATCAGCAGGAACTCCATGACGCCCTCGCGAGCCTTGCGGGTCAGATCGGAGTTGGTCTTGATTCGCCAGCCCTTCATCACGGGCATGGCACAGGCGGCCACCGGCTTGGGGCTCTTCTCCACCTCCACCAGGCACATGCGACAATTGCCGGCAACGGCCAGGCGCTCGTGGTAGCAAAATCTGGGAATCTCCACGCCGATCTGGGCAGCCGCCTGCAAGAGCAATCACCGGAAAATGGTAATGGGATAATAGGAACCTCAATTGCTTCCCTTACTCCCATCTCTTACCTGCAGCACAGTGGTGCCGGGCAACACCTGCACAGGAATGTCGTCCACAAAGACCTCGATCTTCTCGGGCGCCTTCGCCGGCGTCTGGGCCAAAATGGCGCTGGTGCGCACCGCCCGGCTGGCCATCTGATGTGTGGGCGAGCCCAGAGCGCCCAGCGCCTTGACTAGCGGTGCCCGTATCATATTTTCTGCAACGACAAGTGACCAAATAGAGCTGCAATCCTCAAACCCAACAATTACATAAGTAATCTGGCTGCCAGCATTTCCCAATTTATCGATCGCTGCCGTCCGTAGTCTCTGGCCGACTGCAGGTGGCCTTTGGCCAGGAGTTTTGCAGCTCCGGCCGACGGTGGGGGTGGGGGTAGGCGAAAAACCTACCGAAATGCTGGAAAATATTCCTGTGGCTTTTTTAATGCGGAGACAAACTTTTTATCGCTTTGCTTTGACAGTCGCACTGTGACGGCGTGCCGCGTTGCCAACTGTCTGTTTGGTATTTTCAGTTGGCAAAGCGGGCCGCACAGCTGTTCCTCCCAAGAACTATGGGTGCTGCCAGACCGCGCAGGGGGAAGTCCCTTTTCTGTCTTTAATTGAGGGTCCATGAAATTTCCTGGCATAAGTAACTTTAAGTTGGGGTAAACAGCTCTAAAAGGGTTGCGGAAAACTTTAATTTTCATTGGAAAAAATAGGAAAACCGAGATGTAAGCAAATGAACGCAAATGAGTTGGAGTTGCCAGACCGCTAGACCGTAATGGCGCTTATAAAAACCGTTATTGGTGGATACAATTTTTGGTTACAGTTTCTTTTTAAATTAAAATGCACTTTTCTGCATTTTTGAGACTTTCAGATCTGCAGTACAGCATTTCCTATTTATATATATGAAAAATTAGTTGTTTTCAGTGTTGAAAACAATTTTGAATTGAATTTTCTACCTATTTTCGATACAGATATTTGAAAAGGAATAACAAATGCTGTAAGCAAAATTTCTATAAATATATTAGAAAATTATAATTTTTGAATAGAGTGAAACAGAGCTTAAACTGCCTTTAAAATGGTTCCTTCTTCAAAAGAAGTTTTTTTTTTTGGATCTGGGATGTAGATAAAGATCTAGTGGTCTTTTTCTACAAGCCTCATATTTTCCCAAATATGTACACCGCCCTCGCATCATTGTAGATGATACAACCTCCACCTGGAGGTCTATTGCTCGCCATTTCACTGGAGACAGGAGACCGGAGACTGGAGACTGACGCCGGCAGACGCCGCTAGTGAGATCTGTTGAAGATCAAATCTTTACATGGGAGTCACGCGAAAAATTACACACACACACATCAACGAGAGGTGGACAATGCAAACGGCACGGATGACAGACAGGCCAGCAAAATGATGTTGTTCCCAGCACACTGGCAGCGAGTGGAGCCACTGCCACTGCCACTGCCGCCGCCGCCGCCACTCGCCCTGTCTGTGTGAGTGTCGGGACGGGGACGGACTAACGCACGATTCTGTTGGATCTGCGGAATCTATCTGGCTCCCATTTGGCGTCCCTGGTGAACGGCGCCACTGTCTGCCATTTGTCCAACAGGAGGTGGTTGCGTGAATCACGAGTGAATCATTGGTTACTAAAGGGAAATCGGGGGATCACCTCAAACCCAAAGGGGTTTATTGATCATTAAATAATTCTTAAAGAGGAAATGTTGATATAATTATTAAACTCGCATGATCTACCAGTTATTCGTGTGTACGAATATTTCGCTCTAGAGATGCGTGCGTGTCACGACTGTCCCCCCATTTCTAGCGCTCACCGCAGCCAGGTAATCAGATAAAAATATATTATGACGTACCAGACCGACTTTTCATTGTTAATTGAGCGGCAGCTACATAAACCTTTCCCGGAGCCCGGCCCTGAATGATTGAGATTGAGACGTGCTTGATATCTGTTGGGATCGCAGCGGCAGCGTCGGCGATACACTTGGCACAATGCCGATATGTTTTCGATAATTCATATCGATGGCGATAACGAAAAAGTAAGGGAACTGGATCCTTTTTTTTCAATTTACAGATGTGATATATAATTGTACACCAATTGTTAAATCTTGTAAAATCAAGTGGAAAATGACTAGATTATTTTTGTTAGTGTAAAGACGATGCTGCTGCTTCGTCGTCGGCGGCGTCGTTGTTGCTGTGGTTTTTGTTGTCTGGCGTCTGTTGGCTGTCTCTCTTATCTTGTATCTCGGCTGCTCTTGCTCGCGCTCTTTCTCTCCCACTCTCTCTTTCTCCCTCTCCTCTTCTGCACGCTCGTTTTTTGTCCTTTGCCTTATCGCAGTGTATCTGATGCTCATGGATGATGTGCACTCAAAGAAATAACTACTTGAAATGTAACTCTGGAAAGGTGAATTTAGCAATTGCCAAATTATACTTATTACCAGTTAATTAATTTTTATATCGTTACAAAACACCTTATATTGTGTGACATATTTTATATTTAAGAACAATAAATTGTTAAACTTGTGTTTCATAATATCAAATATTACAAATTGCCTAGTTATTGTTTTTGAACTAAAAAAGTGTCATTGCTAAAAAATTACTTGACAAACTACATATATATTAATTTGAGATCATAGTTGGGAATCTTCTTGGATCATTTAACCTAAAAATATTTTTAGTCGATGCTTTAAGAGACTTTGAATACTTGGAACATAAAATATGGATTAGGCTCTTAAAGTGATAGAGTTTTAGACCTATTAGATCAGCTCTAATATCAAAAAATTCCCTGAATTTCATCCATTTGGCATCTAACAATATTATTTACTTATTTAACATTTAAATTCAAATTTTTAGATTATATTTCCATCAATATCAAAAATAAATTTACAAGTATATATAAACTAATAGACCTATTAGAACAGTTGTCGAAAATGTCCTTATATTCATATACATATTTATAAATTGTTCTCCTTAAATTTATTTTATATAATTAAATTATTTACATCAGAGCGCAATCGAACATAAGAATTTTTACAATTATCAAACCATTAAAATTAAACAATAATTAATTATTAAAAATATAAGACTAATAAGAACGATATTTCGTAAATCAGAATCTATAATGATTTCCATTTGTAATGCAATATTATAGTACAATAAATATATTAAAAAATATATATATAGTATATATAGTATAACAGAAATATAATAATTAAAATAAGTAACTAAATTATACAACAATTTCTTGCAGTGCGCGGTTGAATGCTGCTGCCACGCTCCAGACGTGTCGCCACAATTTGCAGCCAAACGCCGGCGACATCGGCTTGGCGCCTAAAATCAAACGGGGGCCCCGAACGAACGAAATGTTTTTTTAAAAATAACGTGCAACAACGACGGCGGCTAATAATGTGATTTGTTTCGTCGGCAGGGCGAAGGAGAGGACAACCACTCCTGTCTCCTGTCTTCTGTCTGCTGTCCATTGTCCATTGTCCTCGCGGCAGCTTTAGTATGTGATAATTTTAAACAATTTACTCCCCTTTTTTTTTTGTTTGTTGTTGTTGTTGCCAGGCCCGCCACCGGCAATTGCCCGCATTTAACGGTGTGTCCTTGGCGGGTTGCACCGCCCTGATCCCGATCCCTGCTCCCCTCCTGGAGCATCTCACAGTTTCTGGAAGCGGTGAGATAAGGCAGCAATTTCTGCGGATCGACGCCATAAAGCAGATATGCATGATACGATTATAATTATACGGCAAGCAAGCATGGCAACAGTCTGCGGTGGCATCGGAGCCACAGTGATCACTGTCAAGTGATCAACAATGCAAGTTGCACCCAGAGGTTGATTACAAACTAATGGGGGATTCCCCCCAGAATGCATAAAGTTTGTCAAGTTATTTTCTTTATAAAACCAAAATATTTTATGATATTTGTTGTTTTTTTGTCTACTTTTCTTGTATAATATTGTTTATAATTTGTATTCATAATTTTTAATGTTATTTTATTTTAGCAAGGACATGGCACTATTCAGAGTAGAGATGGTCTCGTGACTATTTCTCATCCGGGATCGGCATGCAGGTCCATCAAATTCCAAGACATTTTTACAACAAAATAATGAACAAAAATTCAAAAATCAGTAGCACTTAATCATCAGAATTATATTAAGAGTACAACATGATTTAAGCTAATCTTATTTAAGGTCAAAAGCCCGCTCTCATCTCTAATTCGTAGGGAGTACTTTCTGGTTTTGCGGCGAAGACCCGAAGATTCGAACACCCGAAGATCGACTCGGTGTTCGCTGCCCGATCGCATTGGCAAGTGCGCGGGCAACTTCTCGTTTTTCGAATATTTAAGCAGTCGCTCGCAGAGCGTCGTTGAGAGCGGTCCACCAGGGCGATACTGAATCTGAAACCAAATTTAAATCCAAGTCCGAGAGTTCGATTACGATCCCGACTCCGAGAATAAGTGTGGCGCGCCGGCATTCAAAGAGCTTTGTTTCCGCGAAAACAGTGAACATTTTGCAAGGATATAATCGGAGATATCGCGAATAAAAATTATATACTATATAAATAGTTATTGGAATCCAACTAAGGATTTCCTATTTATTTATTTCATTTTATTTCTATTTTTTTTTTGACAAAAATCAGTGCCTGTGAACCGAAATATGCGAGTTGTGAAACCCATTGTGTTGTGAAAGAGACCGGCGGAGTTCTCCTACCTGGCGCTTTAATCGCCGCCGCCCCTTAAGCTAAAGACGTACGATTAAAAAAAAAAAAACAAACCAAAATCCAAAACAAAACCCCTTTGCTGGCTGTTGTTTTTTGCCGTTCGTCTCTGAGCTTTTGTTTGCGGTTAAAATATTTGCGGGCTTCCATCAACGGCGCATTTTGGAATTCGAGTTCGAATTCGGATTGGTTATCGGAATCGGTGAGTTGAGAAGAATACATCTTCAATATTCTGATAAGATTGGGGAGTTTTCCAATTGAATGATTTTCGAAAAAAGAAGACCTTCAGTTATTGATTAGGATTGAATTTCGATCAAGTCCTTTTCGATAGGTATTCCCAATAGGATTTTTTAAAACCAACTAGTGTAAGCCCGTTTTTTCATTTTCGACAATTGAGCAAAGTTGCAATAATAATGATGCAAACGATAACACTTACATATAACTTTAAAATATTAGTAAACTGATTCTAATGACTTAAACGGGCATAGAAATAAGAAAACAAATAACTGGTTCATAAAATCAAAGAAAAGCTAAAGTTTTCTTTTGGAAAAATATTCAGTGTTTGCGTTTATTTGTTCGATTTTGTAAAAAAGGTAATACAATTCATAAACTGCTTTCAAATAAAATAAATAAAACAAACATTTGGAGTAAAAGTAATCTTAATATTTTCTTTATTTATATTAATCATAATATTTATGTGAGTTTTATAGCTAAAATCTAGGTGAATTTTAAAAGCTTGAATATATATTCTTTTATAAAGTAAACAATAAAATCGTTCAACTAACCAAAAGCTGTTTTAAGCCAAAAACCGATAAGTAAATATCTTATATTTTTTCGGTTTATGGATACTTAATGATTTCTGTTTGTTGATCAATAATGGTAGTGATTTTTCCGATTAACAAATATGTGGCTTTTATCATCAATAAAAATCGGAATAATCCGGATTATACACCAATTAACCCGGGATATATCATTGCAAATTACGTATTACGTATTTTGGCCAATATCTACCTGTATCCGGAGTATCTTGGTATCTTATCACACCTCCTTTAACGGTCTATGAGTTTTTTTTTTCTCTTTTTGCTATTCCCACTTCCTCTCCCTCTTTGCTAATTCGCTTCTGCTTTTGCACATTTCCTGTGTGATCTCAGAGACTGGCGAAAAAAAAATAAGAAACCATTTTTTTTTATCTCAGAGACAAAGAGCCAAAAAAAAGTCACAAAAAAATAAACGCAGTACAGGCGAACTCCCAAAAACGGTAAAAATAAAAATAAAAAATAACGCAAGTCATGTATGGTCACCCACAAACACTGCAGGCAGCAACAATGTCATGACAAATAAACTGAAATTAAATGATTTGCTCCGAAGCATTTTGGCCGGGACCAGTTGGCCCATCCGATCCGTCGTCGGTCCATAAACGCCGCCGCGCAGAACATCCCATTCCAACCAAATCCCCATCCCCATCCCCATCCCCCCAAGAAATGGCAGCAGTGCAAAAAAAAAGACAGAAAAATAAAAAAACAACACACACTCTTTGTGTGTGTGTGTGTGTGTGTGTGTGTGTAATAGCAGACAAAATACAAATGAAATAATAAATCGAACGACGTTGCCATAAAAATACATTTTCGGCCCACATGCGACCAGCGACGCGAGCGAGAAGCCATAGAGATTCAAATGTGCCCCGAGATAGGAGCGAAAACATTAACAACACTGGAGTACAACGTGCGATCCGGCGATTCACCGATCCGGGCGAGGGCGGGGCTCTGGAGAGGATCGGAGGGGAGCCAACCCAACCCAACCCAATCCAACCGTGCCGAACTGTGGCCAAGCGAGCAATATGGAAGCGTCGCTTTTACGTGAAAAGTTTCATTTCATTCATAAAAAAATCCCATAAAAGAAAAGCAGAACAGGCACCGAGGCTAGGGATACTCTTTGTGGCAGAAATGTAAAATTAAATTATTATTAATTATTATAATTTGTAATATAAGCAGCAGTCTGAATGCTTAAAAATTTATTTTAAACTTTAAATTCGATTATTCGATTATTCTTTATTATTCGATTATTTATGATCATGCTTAGGCACTAGATATTTTATGATCATTCTTTGAAATAGAAGAGAGAAATAATTGTAATATACTCTACAGAGTATACATTTAAATTGTTTAAAGTTTTAAAACCTTTATAATATATTTTTATATATTGTTATAAACTCTAAAGAACCTAAATCAAAGGATATTTGTAGAGCTTAAAGGTGCTTCGAAACAACTCAGTGTATTATTCATTGATAATTCACCAGTATTCAGAGACATTACGTTTAGAAGATGATCATGATAATAGTTTTTTGTATATCTACAGAATATTAAGAAAGAAAAAAAAAGAACGTTTAAATATTTAAATATCAAACCTTTGTAATCTTTCAATTTCAATATTCACATAATAACCGAAGGATATTTGAAGATCCTAAATGCTATTTAAAACAATTGATTGTATTATTCATTGATGATTGATCAGTAATCAAAATCATTACCTTTAGAAGATGATCATGAAAACCTTTCTTTTTATATCAACGTTTAAAGATTTGAATATTGAAATATAAAATATTTATTTCCAATCTTTGTAATCTTTCAATTTGAATATTCGCATAATAACCATAGGAAAGGGTATAGAAAAAATTCAAGCCCAAAATCGAGTCCCCACACTCCATCTCTGTGTGTGTGTGTGTGTGTGTTTCTCAATGAATCCACAACGTATGAATGGCAAAACACATGAATGGAGCTTCCAGCCAGCACTCCACTCCACTTCACTTCACTTCCAGCTCCCAGCTTCCAGCTCCAAACCATTCCAGCGTGCTCTGTTTTTTTTGGTTGTGTGTGTGTGTTTTTCTTTTTTTTTTTTTTTGGTCCGGTCTGTGGCCCAGTCTGATCCGGCAAACTGGTGGGCGTCCAAATTGCTTCGACTTCGACTGGGGGCACACACAAAGTGAAATCGGAAATTCGCAGGCAGAGCGATTTTCTACGGATATGGTGGGGCCAGGAAAGAGGAGGAGTGTACGTGGTGTATCCGATCTTGATTTGGGCCTTCATTAACATTTATATTCGTCACCGATGATCGATCGATCGTTGGCTCAATGCTTGACCAAAATCAGAGGTGACGAATCTCTGGTGATAAATATATATTTTTGAAAATTGCCCAAAAAATAGTTGAATTAGTGAAGCCATAAAAAACGCCAACGATTGAAGTAGAAATAACATGGCAAAGGGTAATGGGTTGGGGGATCACCCTAACCGGAGGAAATTGAGATTCAATTCAAGTGAAATTTCCAATCACATGAGATCACTACCGAGGCATTTCTCAGAATTTGGATCGAAGGGAGACCTCCTCATTGAAGATTTAACATTCAGGGGAATGGATTCAGCTGGCTTCCAATATATGTTAAGTTATTCCCATTGGAAGAGATGGGATAAAAGGGAATTACCAGGCAAATTCATCATTTAAATTTTTCAAAGAATTATTTTCAAGGAGTTAACTTTCTTTGAATTTCTAAAAGATTTATTTTTAAGGAGATAACTTTCAATAATTTTCTAAAATATTTATTTTAAGGAGGGAACTTTCTTCGATTTTCTAAAAGATTTATTTTTAAGAGCAAAAATTTCCTCCCTCCCAAACTCGTGTCTCTTTCGGGGAATCATTGATCATAGACGCTTCAGCGGAAGGGGTTCCAGGTAATACCAGGAGACCAGGAAGATCAGGGAGACCAGAGAGGCACAGACAGTCTGCAGGCTGCAATCAATTGGCTGACATTTAATGGAGGGAACCGTCGGGCGGCAGTGATTGATTGATTGATAATTAAGAGTGGCGCCTACTGGCATTCACCATTCACCCAACGACTACCGCCTGCCTCTCGCAGTCATGAAGGTGGCATTGCAGCATAATGGGAGACACAACCGGACAATGGCAACCAACATTTTAATATACGATCATGTGGCGCTTGCTAATTTAACTGGGAAGTCTTTCAAGTTTCGCCGCGACTCGAATAGAATAAATATCGAAAACAGGAATATGGTCAACGGATCGCGGAGAGTGGGAATTTTCGGGTATAACCAATATTTAAGCGCATATTTTATTGCCATCATTATGGCCAAGATGATGAGTTCGCATTGAATTTGGAATTAAGAACGGCACCTGTGCCGGCGGAGGCGCCAGTGCCAAGATCATTGGCAACAGGCGAATGCTCTTAATTGATCTTGAATTTTTGACTATATTTTGGGATTGGAATATAAAAAAAAATATATTATATAGGATATTTTAATAATTTTCTGGCTTTTAAATAATTATTAATTAATTATTAAATAGGAACTGAATTAACATTTGTCTAAACAATTATATTTTGTGTCCAAGACATCAAATTACCGCTTGCGCAGCACTATAATTCCCAATGAGTTTTAGCAGCAATCCCTTTTAATTTGGGGTAAATATTCAAGTTTTTGGAAATCTTTCGACTTGGTTCATATTTTGGTTTATAGCTTTAATTTACTTGTTGTTTAAAAATTCATTACGTTTAATCAATAAACTTAACCCTCTAAAAAATTATTTTTGGATTCCGTATGTATCAAAAGTGAATGTTTGTTTTGGAAAAAATTTTACTTTTGCTCGGATCGAGTTTTATATGACTAAAACCTTGGACCGCATGAAGGCAGTTCTGGGAAGATAGGCCAACAAAAAATTAGGTAAAAAAATTTTTTTGTTTAAATGTTTATTATAAATGTCATTGAGACTGTCAGCAACACAGAACAATTTTTTTTCTAAATTTTTTCCAATTTTTAAAAAAAGTATTTACATGTTGTATTTCCTACAAAATAATTATTTTGTCCGATTTGCACAAATTTCCAACTTCAAATGAATACAGCAGCTTGCGCTAGCTCTAGTATGTATTCCAAACGCAACGAACTTAATTTTTGGACTTTCCTTAATTAGAAAAAACGGAAAACCGTGTGAAAAGGAATGAAAATAATAAAATAACGGTGTTTTTAACATTGCCCGTCTAGAGGCGGTCTTGGGCACTAAAGGGTTAATTTGATATAATATTTAAAAAAGAAAGAGCCGTTGCTTTGCAAATTTAATCAGCTCGACTTTTTGGTGATAATTTTTCTTCGTTACTTTTGAAGCAAAACAAATATGCTAATTATTTATTTATTTTGTATATTTTTATGGTGCGTGCACTGCCTGCAATATAATGTATCAAAATGACGTAATTTCTTCTCCCATGTCCCCAAAATAGCAGGGATTACGGAAAGCCCGCTCTGTCGCAGAGTATTTGGCGACTTTCTTGAGTGGCAAGGAGTCCGATCTTTTGCTTTTCTTTCAACTGCAAATCGGCTTTGAGGCTAATGAGCTTTTGTTTAATTTTATTAATGGAATTGCCAACATTTATCATAAATTACAAATCGTGATCGTGATAAGAGCGCCGATGACTGCGTCAATCTCTTGAATAATTAAGTTGTCGTGTTGCTTTGATAATGACCAGACAGCGCTAACCTTTTTTGTTGCTATTCTCGATATGTTATTATTGTTACTGTCTTTGAAGAGCCGCAAAAAAAAAAAAAACAATCAAAAAAAAAAAAAAAAGACGACGAAAAATTTGCTTAATTTTATGGCCCGTGTCTTGTCTGAAGATATATACAGACATACCTACACAAACATACATATACCTATTTTTTGGCCTAACCATTGTCTCCGTCTTCGTCTCGACTGCCCGAAAGTGTTTGCTAAAAGCCAAAAAGCAAATCACCTTTTATTTATTATCTGGAAGTGGTCTCTTTCTTTTTATGGCCTTTATAGCCATAATCATTTGGTACACTCAAAATAAGAAGGGGTGACATCTTTATGGATTAATCAGAGAGCGGCATCGACTTTGAATGCCAGAGCAACTTGCTATTTTATTTGATAGATGTATATTTCATTATTGATATATTTATAAATGTTATCGAAAATCGTAACCTGATAATTTCTTAAATTTTTGAATATTATATTTATATTTATTTATATTTATTATATTTATTAATTGAAAAATATTTTATTATATTTCGGTTTTTTGTTATCAAAAAAAATATCGAAAGTATCGAAAATCTATTAAATATTTGAATAGTTAAAACAGTAGTATGGTTAATCCGAATAATATTAGTCAGAAACTATTGATATATATTATTTAATTTATTAATTATTTATTATTATTATTTAACTATTTTTTATATTATATTTTAAATTATAATATAATTATTTTTGCACTTATACAAATAATAATTTCAGACATATATTGAAAATATCGAAAATTCTATTATTAAATATTTTAATAGATTTATTAATTTACTTAATCAATCAAAAGAATGTCGTATCTTAATAATCGCTTTCATTATTTGAATAGTAAATATAAACACATATCGAAGAAGCTATCGTAAAATCTCTAAACTATTTGAACTTTAATATTTGAACTATAATATATAAAATATACATATATAATATTTATAATATTATTTCGGTTCTGTGTAATTCCCGCTAGGGGTGAATCCAAGACCGGTGTCACTTTCCAAGTCGGTTTGGAGTGGATCAGCTTGGATTGGATCGGGTGGGTTGGGATGGAGAGTAGAGTACTTATGATTGGTGGAATGCGGTGGCGCCAGGCTCAAACCACAATGTGATGATCAGCAAAGGCCGCAACAAAAAAATGTATTTATATATGTAGGCGCAGTGCGTCAAGATTGATTGCCTCATTCCCTCAATGATTGATCTGTAACCAAGAAAAACTAAACAAAAAAAAATAATAATAATAACCTCACTCGGTTGCTACTGAAATCCGAAAAGGTAACTGCAAAATGATCATAAATTTGGTGGAATAATTATACGATTTAAATATACATATATATAAATAGATTTTCGAAATTAAATTATTTTTGCATTAGTTGTAATCGATTTCTAGGGCAAGAGTATACCGAAAATTAAAAAATTAACCCTCTAAGCCCCAAGCGAAGAAATATTAAAAAAAACGAAGTGTAATTATATTTTTTGGGGTAAATGGTAGCTTTTAATTTCAAAAATGACCTCAAAAAGTGTGTACTAACTGTAGTTTACCTGTAAATCGAACAGGGGTAAATAAGATAAATCACTGCTACAACGCACTATTTCTATAAAATTGCAAATATGCAACTTGATTTGGATTATTTAATATGTTACCTTCTAGAACAATAATTTTTATTTGGCTGATTTTGAAGATATTTCACTTTTATTGATAGACAAAAAAACACTATATGAAGCACACAAAAATTTTTGCGCGCGAATGCATGTTGCATGTAAACAACACGAAAAAAGTCCTGTTATAAAGCTTCAGAGAGCTTTGAAACCTTCTACTCATAAGTTCACATGTTTATTGTGAATTGACTAGTGTAATTAAAAAATTTAAAAGGCTCCCAGTTTTTTAGATAATACAAATTATCTAATAAGTGCCTTGAGGCACTCTTGGGTCTTAGAGGGTTAAGTAAAATATACAAAATATATTCTCCATTCTCAGCCACACCCTTCTCCTGACCAGGCTAAGATCCGTAGTATGCCAACGCTGCCATGCTGCTGAGACAACGCCTGGACAACGGCTAGGACGGCTGTGGATCAGGAGATCAGGATCGGGTCATGGACAGCAAGAGCAGGATGCGGACTCGGATGCGGATCACGTTGCTCTGCTTGTGGCTGGCCCTGGAGGCACCCGGTAAAACGTCGGCAGCCAATCCACTATTCGGACTTCATTCCGATGAACTGGTGGCGGATGAGGGACAACTAGTGGTCCCCCGTCGCGTCCATGCCGATGGCAAATTTATGACCCACTCCCTGGCCTATGCCCATGATCGTGATCATCGAAGGCATCGCCAGCGACGCAGTTTCCACGACGACCAGGAGGAGGAGCCGGAGCCAGCGGAGCTTCATCTACAGCTTCCACTGGCCAATGAGACGCTCCATTTGGAGCTGATGGCGCATAGCTACTTCCTGGCCCCGCATCTGGTGGTGGAGCGGCATCGTCGTGACCTTCGCACCCGATCCTCGTTGACGGCAAGGCACCTTAACTGTCATTTCCATGGCAAGGTGCGCGGCGAGCCGGACACCAATGTGGCCATCTCCACCTGCTCGGGACTGGTGAGTGTCCATCAATCTAGTGTTTCTCCTCTCTAAGGCATTGGGTTTCCAGGTGGGCCACATCCGGACGGCCAGCAATGAGTACTTTATCGAGCCATCCAAGCAGCATGAGGCGCATCCCGTCAACGGCCATCCGCACGTTGTCTTCCAGCGCACCTCCGTGAAGCCAAGGGTAAGTCTGGGATTCTGGATCCTTGATCCAGGACTGTTCTTACTTAGTTTTTTCACCATCAGCAGCAGCAGCAGTCCCGGATGCGTAACAAGCGCAAACGCGGCGGGGGATCATCGGCAATGGGTTCCCCCAGTTTGGAGGTCAGTAACTGTGGCACTCGAGAGCCACGACGACGCATGGAGACGCGTCTGGAGTGGCAGGCCAAAGGCAAGGTCAAGATCCAGGGGGGCAGACAAATCCGGCGGCGGCACCACAAGCACCACCAGCACCCCAACAGACGGCAGCATCACCAGCGGAAATCGCAGCCCCGGAAGCTGCAGCTCCACAAGACCAAGTTCAAGTATGAGACGCAGCCGGAGATCCCGCGACGAAGGCGCTCCATCAGCAGTCCGCGGCATGTGGAGACACTGATTGTGGCCGATGCCACCATGTCGGCATTTCACAAGGACCTCAATGGCTACCTGTTGACCATCATGAATATGGTTTCGGCCTTGTACAAGGATCCCAGCATTGGCAACTCCATAGAGATTGTGGTGGTGCGGATCATCCAGTTGGACGAGGAGGAGTCGCAGCAGCAGCTAAATCTCACCCAGAATGCCCAAAAGAATTTGGATCGATTTTGCAGGTAAATAAAGGTATAGATTTAACCTTCCAGGGAGCTAGGATATATATATGTATATCTTTTTTATAGTTGGCAGCACAAGCTAAACAAGGGCAGCGAGAAGGATCCCCATCACCATGACGTGGCCATACTCATCACACGCAAGAATATCTGCGCCAACAACTGCATGTGAGTGGGCCAGGCTATAACCATTGGGTTAATAATCTTATCAAATCCCTGCAGGACCCTTGGCCTGGCCAATGTGGGTGGCATGTGCAAGCCCAAGCAATCCTGCAGCGTCAACGAGGACAATGGCATTATGCTCTCCCACACAATCACCCATGAACTGGGTCACAAGTAAGTGTCCTGGGTATTAGTAAAACTTGTTAAATATTTAGAAATCATTTGTTTAAACAATTATATTCTGTGTCCAAGACACACAAGGGGCCCCTACATCAAATTACCACTTGCCCTCTGCTATAATTCCCAATGAGTTTAAGCAGAAATCTCTCTTTATTTAGGCTAAATGTCCTGGGTTTAATCCCAAGTGAGAGCTTAAGAGTTAATTATGTGAAATAGAACCTAGACATGGTTAACGGTGGCAGCATCCACATCTACCAGACAGGTTGCCGGCAGCGATTTGCATTGCCACCTGCAGCGCCAGACGCAGCCAACACATGTGCTTCGGGCCAAGATTTATGGGCAGCCCAATTTAATGAATGAATATAAGAGACTTTGGGATGGTGTCCAATCGACGGATGCTTTGACACCTGCGTGTGTGTGTGTGTGTGTGTGTGTCGTGACAATGATCGCCTGCGTTGCCCGCCCACTTTGGTCGCCACTCCGGCGACCAGTTGCCAGTCTCAGTCGCAGAGTGTCACCTCTCGCGGTGCCCCTGCTTCCTGCTCCATTCAAACTCAATTAGTCGAGAGCTGGAGGCACATCAAGCCAGAGTCAGAGATGGCCAAGAGCAGCAGTCACAGTCACTTGGAAATCAACTTGTAAATTAATTAATTATAAATTTATAAGTGACTTTTTTTAATAAATTTATATGAAATAAATATATCATTTAATCTTCCCTTGAAGTATATTAATTTCTTTAAATTTTAAATCCAACTTGTATGAAATATAACTAATATTAAACTCAATATTTAATCTTCCTTTCCCAACAATAATTTGTTTAAATTTTAAATACAAATTCATAGTGTTTAGTTAGGAAATCCCCTGCCTCAACGGACATTAACCCTTGCTCCGTATAATTCTATGGCTGAAAATAATCTAAAACTGTTAATTAATGGCTATAGACAATATCGTATATATTCTCGTAAAATGTAAAGTACCACCAAGTGATTCACTGTGATCACGGCATCGGCACACCCAGACTTTGAGGCTCGCACTAGCAATACACGCACACCCATCTAGGGGCGATGTTGTCCGGGTCCGGTTTGGCCGGCTCATCGGGGGAGCTGTGGATTTTGCGGATTCCGATTGGCATTCGGTTTTTGGATTCGGTTCGAAATTGAATCAAATCGGGTCGAACGTGCCAAGTTGCCAAGTTTTCAAGCGAACAAATGGCTGTGGGACGATTTGCACTGGGAGAAAATAGGGAGTATAATCAGAAATTTTTAAAATATTTAGAGTTATAATTTGGAGTTTTTATTTTTTGGAGATTATGAAATACCACCTGATAAATAATATTATAAATAATAAATTAAATATGAAAATTAAAATATTAATATATGTATATTTAGGCTTGAAAACCGGCCTCTATTTTGTGCCAGTGCCGCCAAGTGGCCGTCAGTGAGTCTAGCGTGCTCCGTCCGCGATTGAGTCAGCCCGGCGGCTACGGCCTGCCACCAAGCCCCGCGGCTCCTCCTTATTTGCACCCAACTGGATCTGCCATGAGATCTGGCATTCTGTTGATCTGTTGATCAATGGTGTCGCTTGGGGTGTTGTGTAAGTCGACCGGCCGGAACGAAACAGAACCTCCCTGGGCGGGAGCAACAGGTGGCCAGGCGGTTGTTTGTTTTGGTTATTTGTTTATGTGCTTTTAATCAGATATATGCATTACTTATTATTCCATTAAAACAATCAGGTTTTTGGTGGAGGAGCTTGGAGTTTCCTACATAAAAACAATTATTATGATCTCTTGTCCCCAGCTTTGGCATGTTCCATGACACCGCCAAGATCGGCTGCCATCCGCGAGTGGGTTCCATTGTGCACATCATGACGCCCACCTTTGGAGCGGACACCCTGCAGGTTTGCTGGTCGAACTGTAGCCGCAAGTACATAACACACTTCCTGGAGTAAGTAACAGTCTTGCGATTATATATATATCTATATATACTATATCCCCCCCCCCACCTTCAGTCAGGGCTTAGGCGAGTGCCTGGACGATCCACCGACGCCGCTGAATGAATACAACTACACTGGAGAACTGCCCGGAATGCGGTACAATGCCCGCGGCCAGTGCCGGCTTCAGTTTAATCTCACCAACGACAGCGAGGTGGGCGCCTGCTCCGCCCCCCATGAATTCTGCTCGACGCTGTGGTGCAAGGTCAATGGCGAATGCGTCACCCACATGCGTCCCACTGCCCCGGGAACGATGTGTGGCAGGAATAAGTGGTGCCAGAATGGCAAGTGCGTTCGCCGGGAGGAGCTAACCGCCGTGAATGGTGGCTGGGGGGATTGGAGCGAGTGGAGTGAGTGCTCGCGCAGCTGTGGCGGCGGTGTGTCCACCCAACACCGGGAATGCGATTCACCGGTTCCGGCCAATGGCGGTGTCTTTTGCATTGGCGAGCGGAAGCGCTACAAGATCTGCCGGAAGCGACCCTGTCCCGAGCAGGAGCCCAGCTTCCGGGCTCAGCAATGCGCGCGCTTTGACAATGTCAGTTACCAAGGGGCCACCTACAAGTGGCTGCCCTTCTTCGACAAGGGTGAGGGGTCACATAAAACAAAAAACTATATAACCCAAGATTATTCATCCAATTTCCCTTGTTATATACTCCCTTATTTGACTCCCAGATAATCCCTGCCGCCTGTTCTGCAGCGATGTGGATGACACCATCATTGCCAATTGGGGCTCCACGGTTTTGGATGGTACGCCCTGCACGCTGGGCACCAACAACATGTGCATCGATGGCATCTGCAAGGTAAGGTATACGCCGGCGACGGATCCCTTGGTCAATAACCCTGAGCCCAAATCGCGTTTCGTTCAGAAAGTTGGTTGCGATTGGATCGTCGACTCGGAGATGCAGGACGATCGTTGCGGTGTCTGTGGCGGCGCTGGCGATCAGTGCCAGCCGGTAAGGGATGTCTTCAGAGATCCATTTGGTGCCAAAGATGGTGCCTATGTGGAAATTGTTACCATACCGGCCCGGGCGCGTCACATTCTCATCCGGGAGCAGGGCAATTCGCCGCATTTCCTGGCCGTGGGACGGGCCGCCGCCCATAGCGAACGGTTCTATCTGAATGGCGATAGCCTCATCTCTATGCCGGGGGAATTCGAGATAGCCGGCGCCGAGAGCCTCTACGATCGGGTCGACGAGCAGGAGACCATCACAATACCTCAGCCCATCCAGCATTCCATATCGCTATACGTAAGGACAGGGATTGAAGTTGTGTGGAAAGGTGGATCTATTATCCTTTTATCTTTCTTTCCCAGGCGATTGTGCGCGGCAATGAGAGCAACTCGGGCATCTTCTATGAGTTCACTCTGCCGGCGGTGAACATCAGCGTAGGAAGGCAGTTCCTGTGGCGTCTGAGCAACTGGACCGTCTGCTCCGCCAGCTGTGGGGGCGGGGTGCAGCACCGGGAGCCGGTGTGCCAGGAGAACGGCAAGGGTGAGTAGTAGTGAACCGCGTATAGCCACTCCCTTACATCCCTCTATTTCCAACAGTGTTGGGCGACACGCTGCCCTGTTGGACGCACGCCAAGAACCGGAGGCCCCAGCGACAGTCGCGGGCCTGCGCCGAGCAACCATGCCCGGCCCACTGGTGGCCGGGACCGTGGCAGTTCTGTCCGCTTACCTGCCGCCCGACGGGATCAGCGACTGCGCCACTTCGCCGGCGATCCGTTGTATGCCTAGACCAGCATGACGTGGTGGTGGCCGATGCGGAGTGCGATGCGATGGCCAAGCCGCCGGAAACAGAGCCCTGCGAGGCCACATTGCCCTATTGCCGGTCGAAGGAGTGAGCTTCCGGCGGAAACGGAAATGTATTTATTCACAGTACAGGAACAGTGCGAACATACATATTTATTCAAGCGTGCCACCGGAATTGCAGTGGATTTGAAATCACTTCATGTACAGCCCGAAAGTATGCAAAAATAATAAATTTTCTATATAAAATATTTCACTGCATACTTTTGGCCAGCCTTCCAATTGATTTCCCGCCTGCAGCGATTTCCATGGCGCTTCCAATTTAGCAAGTAAGCCTTTCGAGTGGAGCTAACAACGTTTTTGTATCTCCCTCCTTTTGGTTAATTTTTTTTCGTTTTAAAAGAAATTATGAATTCTTGAGAGCAAATCATAATGTGCTTTCGATATGCCCTTTTCAATGCCCTTTCAGTTACAACTGAGTTTCTTTGTCTGGCAAGTTCGTTTAGTTTATATAATTCTATAAATTTATTGTTAAGATCATCTAATAGATATATACATAATTGTGCAAATTGGGTCAGTTATCTCCTGGGGCAGCTAAGATGAGCAAATTCGATTAAAAAGATTTGCAACTTAATATATTTTAAGGCACTTTTATAAGAGAATAAAAACTAAAGTTATTAAATTTGCAATGATTTTGTAATTGATTTTTTTTAATGACTTAAAATATTTCAGATATTATAATAAAGAAAATAACATTGATTTGTTTTTGTGACTTAAACAAATTTGGAATTTATTCAACCGAAAAAAAAAAAGAAATAACATCACATTCTCTGAAATTTCTATAAATGGGGAATCCCCTGACTAAATGGTTCTGTAATCGATAGTATCGTTTGGATTTTACATAACCGATTGGAAATTCTACCCCATTGCTACATTTGACACGGTTTATAACCGCTAAGCCAACTTTAATCTGGTAACACTTTTATTTAAATTTTTAGGTTTGCTTATAATTTCAGTCTGGTAACACCGATTTTGTAAAAAACCAACATATAAATCGGACGTTCTTAGCTATTTGTTTTTTTCAAGTGCAAACATAATAACAAAAAAGCAACTCCTTTTTTTTTTTGGTGACACGAAACAGCAACAATAACAAGCGAGAGTGCTAGCGGGACCGGGAGAGCCTGGAGGAAACCGACGACCCATCTCTATTGTTGTTGTTTTCTCAAACAAAAAGACAGAATTAATTGTTAATTGTTTCTATTAAATGCATTAAGCGGCCGGGCCCGGAGAGAGCGCGCGCGTCGGTAACATTGTGAATGGTGAACAGCCGGTTGTCACCCGGGAATCATTGGGGTACCCGGAATCGCTCCATTGGGAGTTCTACGGTAATTAACCACGTCTGTGTGTGTGTGTGAGAGAGTGGATGCTGTGCGGTGGAACGGGACGTTAGGGAGTCTCCGTCTCCGTCTCCTCTCTTTCTATTAGCCATTAATATTCACTTATAATTGGATATTGGAGAAGTGTGCAGCGTTTCCCGGAGTCTTTCTATTTATAAGCCCCAAGTGTGTGTGTGCTCCACTTTGGTTATCAGACGGGGGGCAGCCATAGCCGACAACCCCCCCTCTCACTCGAGTTACATTGTAAGCCCCCTATCCCCCCCTCCCACCACCGCTTTCTTTGTCCGGGGCGCCAAAGAGATTTTCTTTATTTCGAAACCTTAGGAAGTACGTATACATATTGCAAAAGAAAAATGAAAACAAATATGAATTTCATAGTTGTTAACTTATTTGGGTGTTTAAGAGTTTCTTTTCTAAATATCCAATATATACATATATATATTACTGAATCAGAGGTAAAGCCAATTAATATTGTTTACCCTCTGTTCCGTTGATTCTTTGTCCATGTCCAATACGAATTTGGTTTTTGATTTCTTGGATTCAGTTTCCGGATGACTCAATCCAACCGTCACCTTGCTTGTCCAGCTTTAATACCATATACATATATAGTACCTATAATATATCTTATCAGTAGCAAAAAATAAACAGCAAATTGACAATCCGGAAAGCGAAAAAAACACAATTAAATGAGACCCATCTCCGGGTACTCTGATTATAAAGTGCGGCGCACTCACTGGATTTTGTTTATTTTTACTGCCCTCCGCTTCGGCCTGACCCCGCATTCCCCAAGTGCCCCCCTCCCCCCAAATGGCCATGTGTGTATATATCTATCTCTCTGTATGGCCAAAGAGAAACTCGGACCGGGTCCGGCCCTGGCAACCTACAAAAGAATGCAAAAAAAAAAAACAAAAAAACCCAGCACAGCAAGATCGTGAATCACGCGTCTCTTAGTGGGGAAAAAGCACCGCCAGATCAGTGGAGGCTCAAACAAACTAATTAAAATCATATCAGGGGAAGGTCTGAAAGCCAAAGAAATTAAAGTAAGTTTATTTTAAAATTTGTATACCATTGCAGGGTATTATAATTTCAGTCAGTGATGGAGACCTTTTCGACCCTATAAAGTATATATATTCTTGATCAGCATCAACAGCCGAGTCGACCTAGCCATGTCCGTCTGTCTGTTTCTAAGCAAATTAGTCCATTAGTTTTAAAGTTATCTAAATGAAACTTTGCATATAGTCTTCTATATACTCTCACTGCCATATATGTGGGAAAGGGCCGGATCGGACGACTATATCATATAGCTGCCATACAAATGTTCGATAAATTTCTGGAAAAAAAAATTATAACTTGGCTGTTTTGTAACATTTTTGCATAGTTTTTGAGATATGTTCATATTATACTCGTTCAGAATTTTGTTTTTAATTTTATGAAAATCGGACGACTATATCTTATAGCTGCCATAGGAACAAACGGAAAATTAAGAGAAAAAAATTGTAACTTCTTTGTTTTTTAACGTATTTTCATCTTCTTTGAGATATAATCATTTTTAATATTACAGAATCGATTCTTAATGATCCAAGTGCAATCTGCAAGGGTATACAAACTTCGACGTGCCGAAGTTAGCTTCCTTTCTTGTTATTTTCTGATTATTGGCTAAGACTTCCAAGCAAATTATAGACTTATAAACTTGGTGCAGGGAGATAATAACTTATTTCTTGAATAACTTGACTTAAAACTGAAGCGTAATAGAAAGTTTTCACTTTCAAATTAGTACATGTACTTGGTTAGGAAATGGATAGTTAAACAGCGTATTTCCGTTTATAGTTACAAATTAAATGTGAAAATATCATGTAGGCTTTCGTATTAAGGGTCCATTCTGTAAAAAAAAGATCAATCTTCAGGAATTTTTTTTTTGACAAAGAAAAAAACAGGTTCTTCAAACTAGTACTGGGAAAACATCGATGTTTGTGAGTACTTTTATGAAAAACTCCGATTTATAATCGAAAATTCGATAAATGCAAAAAGAAACAATTTTTTTTTTTACCCTTAACATCCTAAATTTAATTATTTTTCTACCTTTTTCCTAATTGCCAACTGAAAAATCCTAGAAAATATACATATATTATAATGCTGAGAAACTTTTTTTTTTTTGACCCAAACAGAAGTCGAGGTAAGGAAGGCGTTAGGATGAACAAGGTGGGCAAGCACATACTGAGCGGCGTCTCATCTCTGGACAATGGCGGCGGCAATAGTGCTATTCTCTCCACAGCCTCGTTGCTCGGCTCACCGCTGGAGGGAGCCAACGGAGCTGGGACGGCCGGTGCCACCAATGTGTTCAGTTCAATTATAGGCATCCTGCCCGACAATCGTCCCATTACCTCGCTGCACATTGTCGAGGACTTTGAGCGGTTAGTGGAAAAGTCTGAATGCCTAAATGTACCATAACCATCTCGCTTTCGATTGCAGCTGCCCGAAAAACTTTAATGCCATTCACCGCACCTACGACCAGGATTCGGATGCCGATCTATGGCGCGACTATAGCATATTTGGACGACAAAACACACGCTATCTGTGTCTGTCCAAGTCCGAGGGCCTGCCCGAATATGTGGTGGAGACACTCCTGTGAGTTTTTGAGTTTCTATACTTCCTTTCGAAATTATTTATGCTCCTCTCTCCACCAGGGTCATTGCGGAGAAGACAGCCCCGCCCAAGGAATTCTCGCTGCTATCCCGCACCGCCGACAGTGACCAGAAGGCCTGGCGCAAGCGTCAGATAGCCTATAAGCTGTCCAAGCGCGGCACTGTCACCCAGGCCGTAACCGATATTATTCTCTGCTCCAAGCTGAAGGTGGCACCCGATGGCTTTAAGCTGGCCGGCGACATCAATGGGGTGCTTATATGCTACAAGACGGGTGCCATTCCGGTGCGCATGCCACCGCCAGTTCCGGTTGGAGGAGTACCCGCCGCTGGAAGCACCTGTGAGGTGGAGCAGGCCCTGAACCGTCTCAATCTGCAGGGACACCGAAATTCACGTGGACCGGTGAGTCACCGTCCTTGATCTCTGCCCAGATGTGGTTTATATAAATTTGTCTCCAGCTGCCACAGCCACCGACTGAGCACCATGACTATGAGGAGATACAAGCCAATTATCAAATAAACTCGCCACAGCGACCGGCGCCGCCACGTCCGGCGGGAGGAGGACGCGGTACTTATGGTGGCACTGGCACCCTGGGCACCTATACCGAACTGGAGGGCGTGCCCTTTGTGCTGGACGCTAGGCTGCAGCGCAATCAAGCCGGAACTGATGTGAGTTGATACAAGAAATGCCAACTGTCCCGCTCTAATTTGCCATTTGCAGATACCCACACTGCCCGAAATCTCGACGCTTCTCAAGTCCCTGGACTATGACTTTCAGCTGGAGCGTCAGATCTTGTGCACGATGAAGTCATCGGCGTCGAAGAACCCTTTCTTCAAGTAGAAAACGAATAGGAATGGGCATCAGGCATCACGCATCACAAATTGAACGTTAAAATTGGAGTTCAGAGTATTTAGTTTGGCTTGGAGGCAGCTGCCATGGCACACACCCAGTAGTTATTTAGTTAGATTCCCCTCCTAGAGTACACAATAATCCTGTGCCTTCGATATGTATCTTATTTTGATTGAATGGCAAGGAGCAAGGCCTCAGTTTCGTAAGCCCTCAGAACCAGAAACCTATCTATTTACATCTATAAATCATTCATATACATCGTGCATCGATTGAGCCCCGAATTGTGATCAGAGGAGCATGCTTAATATATGTTTACACCCAGCCCGCAAGCATCTGTCGTAAAGTTTAAATGTTAATGTTTATGAAAGTAGTCTAGAGATCGTCTCGGATCGAACCCCATGTACACCTAGGACCCACACGCATATATCTAATATATACGCACGTACATCAAAGCATATACCTAGGCCACTTGGCACTGGAAACCAGTTGGTTTTTAAACAAATCTTTATATATATATACATATGTATCTACTACTTATTAGCTCTAGAGACGATTAGACTGTATTGTGAAATCATAGATTCTTCCCTTGGCAACTCTAGTGTTCCCGTCCCCGTCTCAGTCCCCACCAACCCACATTCCCCTCCTGAAGAAAAAAAAACCCCACCATGTTATAGAGCAGTTCAAATAAATAAATACAAAAGGAAATATATATAAAAAAAAATGAATACAAATGAATTCTTGGTCTTTTTATGATTTTTGGTTTAAGTCTCAATTTATTAAGTATAAATACAAAAGTTTATGTTTAAAGTGTAAAAAAAAAATCGAATATATATGCCTGTATGCGGTCTTAAGCACCCAAAGTCATTCCATATGTACACGGTGCTCTTTCTGCTTGGTCCTTGTGAGTCCCATCCATTTAAAATAGGTTGTGGAAAAGCAGGTCCGGCTGCGAGAGTGTCTTCTTCAGGTTGCGAACGCTCAGACGGCGCAGGCGGCGATCGGCGGTGCATCTGCAGGCGATGGGGATCGATGGGAAGGTGGGGGGGATACATGGGGCAAAGGGTACAGGTACAGAGGTTCAGGTTCAGGTTGAAGTTGGGGATGTCGTGGTTAGCAAAGCATTTGTTCGTTCCAGAGAAAGACAACAACAGCACAAGATGGAGCAAAAGCGGCTGGGATTCGGGACTAAGGAACCAATGCACCATCACCAGGATCGGGTATTCAATGGGGCCTGGCTCACTCACTCGAATATGCGACCATGGTACTCGATCATCAGCTTGACGCAGTCCGCCAGTGTCTCACCCTCGCGCAGCACCTGCTGGATGTCCTGCACGTTGCAGCCCTGGGGAACGGTGTGAAAAATGGTCGGTGTCACCGATATGGACAGCGTCTCGGCGCTTATCTGCTGCAGTGGCACCTTGGTTAGACTGTGGACAGGACAAGGGAACAATCATTATTTGCAAATACTCTTCAGAGCAGACCAGCAGACAAGGAAGCGGACCCTAAGAGGGTGGATTTGGAGAGGGTGGGGTAACGGTAACCACTCACCGATTGAAGTGCCCGAATATGTAGTCCATTGTGTCGCGGTTGCACTCCGGCAGCGAGCGTGTCAGTCTTTTCAGGGTGTCTAGCTTGACGGACAGATCGGTGAGCACTGTGCGGGGAAGCAAAAGAGTGGAGTGCCAATGGCCAGGGATTACAGATACTGAATGGATACTGATGGTCTTGCATATACTTACACCACTGGTTGGGCAGGCCTATGAAGGTCTTGGCCTCGTTGACGCTGACCAGCGGACTCTTGATCTCGCGCAGAAACAGCTTGAGCACGCCGGTCAGGGTGTGTACGTCGACTTCCGGCTGACGCAGCGCCTCATAGTCATTGGCATCAATGTTGAACCTGAGCGTTTGGATCTTATTGTAGTCACCGCATTGCCTGTAAATGCCCTCGATGGGCTCCGAGGACCGGCGGTACTTGTGCTCGATGAGATCACAACAGTCCACCACGATCCGGGGCACTGTACGGTGCTGGTCGTGCCTCAGCACCAGCTCCAGTTCCGTGTCAAAGCAGGGCTCGTCGAAGAAGATGCGCTGCTCGCGCAGCGTCTCCACGCTGGGCCGGCTCTTAAACCAGTTGGCCAGGTTCATCCAGGCCACCAGACGGGAGGGTCGGACATTGGGACTTCCCGTGGCCTGGTGGCGCTTGCTGCCCGATCCGGAATTCCCGGATCCCGAACTTGCTGCAGTGCGCTGCTTCTCCCTTTCCCTCTCCTGGAGCAGCTCCGCCAGTTGGCGTCCCATGTCGGCCACCTTTTGCTCCAGCTCCTGGCCGTAGCTGGTCTGTGCCAGCAGATCCTGCTCCAGGGTGTGCATACGCTGCTTTAGGTCCTGCCAGCGCTTGGAGCAGCTGCTGCAGCACTCCATCCGGGCTCCAGACTGATTGCGATCCCTGGAGCCGCGTGTTCTGGCCGCCGCTGGACTGCCAGCGGAGCTGGAATTGGAGGAGCAGACATCTAGGCTGGTGTTGGACACCAGCACGGCCGTGTTGCTGGCATCGTCCAGAAAGAGGCGGGTCAGGTCCTTGCTGCTGCTGCTCTTGAGCAGCGCCAGCTTATTCGGTTTGCTTTTTAGCTCCCGCAGAATCACCACGGCATCGGGTCGTCCGCTCTCCATGCGGCCAGCTTTGTCTAGGGTGGTGATGGAGCCGCTGCTGCCCTCCAGGCGATACAGGGTGCCGGAAGTGACGCTATGGCCACGCATATAGGCGTGATTGTGCCCACCGCCCTGCGACGACGACGATGCTGACGTCGAGGAAGCGGAACGGTCGCGATCGCGGAAACAGTTCATCAGGGTTTTACCCGGCTGGCGTCTCTCGTGGGCCACGTATCCTGCGGCGCCGATAACAATGTGCGCCGAGTCCGGCGTGCCAGGCGTGACTGGCCGTTGGTTCGTTGCCTGCATTCCGCTGGGATCGTTTATCGGGACTGTGGCTGCTCCCACTCTCAGTCTTCTCCTCCGCCTCCTCCTGTCCCGCCTTTGCTTACTCGATTGACTGCTGGTGGGCTTATCGGCAGCTGACCAGTCTTCTCCTCCTCCTCCCTTTTCTCGTGTTCCCCCTCTGATTCCGTTTCTGGTGGCAAGTGACGTCAGGGAACACGATATCGGCCTGCAGCAAGAACTGTGCCTACGGAAAAACGATCAACGGTATAATTAGTTTATGACTATTGAATTTAAGCCCAGATAGTGACCACAGTGGTCATTGGTTTCAGGGAACAATAGGTCTTATCAGTGTGACAGATACTTTGGATTTGGATTTTCTCAATAAAGTTGATGAGGAGGGGACAAGGAAAATGCGAAGGGATGTGGAACCCCTCCCTCTAAGACTGCTATATCGAGTGCTCACTGTGCTAAACTCCCACCTCTTCCGCTTGTCAAGTGCCGATTTCCGCCAGAAGCAAAGCAACTTCTTGTCCCATTGAAAGACGTCTCTGGCCGCTGACCACAAGCCACTTATTGGGCTTCCCACCACCTCCTAACTGCTGCTGCTTCTCCTGACTCAGCTCCGCTCTGCTCTTCCCTTCTCTATTAATCCCCGACTATGGCTCCTCTTTCTGCAACTTTGGATGACGCACTATCATCAGAGGTGGTTCACGGATGGTGGATAATTCGCAGGCAGCTCCGATTTCAACTGAACAGAATGGCTGGCATTCTGGTCGGGGCTTGCCCTTATCGCTGTTCCAGCAATTCCAATGGTTCCACAGTCCCAGAATGCCAGCCACTCTTCGATAAGATAAGCAACGAGCCAAACAAATGCCAAAACACTCGTTTAAATATACATAAATAAAAACTAGCTGGCGAACTGTGTGAAATGCAGTTCCTGCCCCAGACATATCTCCCTTAATATATAACCATATCGCACGAAGGCTGTTTACTCTGCCTGCCGGCGATAGCTTCTGCGGGTGGGGTGGACTTTGGCGATTTGTGGGTAAGTGGAGCAGTGCCCCCAGGCCCTTGACCTGGCTATTGGACTGCAGCTTATCAGGAGCTATTGAGAGGGAACAACCTTATTGAGAGGGATCTCCATAAAAAAAAAATGTTAGCTTTAATTAAAATTTTTTGAGTATATAATATCCTTTTGTAAATACAATAACAAATAAAATAAAATAAAATAATGTTAATGGTTGGTTAAATTTATCGAAAGAAGACGTTGGCCCTTAGGGTCAAGGATAACTTCTCTCTTAAAACTAGGAACTAGGAAATTGCAAAAATTGGCTTAATGGCTTACAGTTGGCAGTCTACTTCTTGGGTGGAGATCAACATCAGGTGGAAGAGTTACCCCCCTCTCCGGCGGTTTCTTTCTTGCGAACATGCGACTTCATGTGCCCGCTGAGCCCCGCATACTGAGCGAATCCCTTGCCACAGAGCTTGCACAGATACCGCTTGTGCTTGTCGTGGATCTCCTTGTGCCGCCGCAGGTACTTGGCACTGGTGAACCGCTTGTGACACACATCACACTCCTTGTCCCGCACATCCAAATGCCCCTTGATGTGGTCCCTGAGCACAGTGCGCTCAAAGAAGCCCTTGCCGCAGATATGGCACTTGGCCACCGATCGCTGTTCATGCCGCCGCTTGTGCCGCTCCAGAAAGGAGACGGTGCTGAAGCGGCCCCCGCAGATGTGACAGCAGTAAGGTCGCTCCCCCGTATGCGAACGTCGGTGCACTTGTAGATCCGTGGTGGTGGCAAACCGCTTGCCGCACTCCTCACAGCTCAGGTGATAGTCCTGCGTGTGCCGCCGCAGATGAATGGTGCAGTTGCCGCACTTGGAGAAGCCTCGGCCGCATGTGGGGCACACAAAGGGCAGGCTGCCGTCATGCTTCGACCGATGCACCCGGTAGCCGTCCACGCTGCTCAGCATCTCCGGACAGAGGTCGCACTGGAAGGGAGCCATGTGGGGCTCGAGGAAGCCCAGCTTTTCATAGTAGCGCGACCGCGAGCGAAATACCTTGCCCAAACGCTCGCTCTGCAGCCGACGCAATTTCTCCTGATGATAGGTGTTTCTCAGGCGTCGGATAAAGAGCTGCAGCTGTGCCGGCTCCAGTGGAATCTTCAGCTCCTTGCGACACAGCTCCAGCAGGCGATCACTGGCCTCCTTGCGGACGGTACGCAGCCGGCAGGTCATGTCCTGCATGTCCCAGTTCGGTCTGCATTGGCGGTACAGCTCGATGAGCTTCAGGTTCTGGGCGTGATTCAGCAGGGCCACAGAACCCCTCTCCTCCGCTTTGGAACTTTTGCCCAGCATCTTGGGTTGGCGCTGACGGGGCAGGCCTCTAGCCAGGAAGTGCAGTTTTTCGTAGAACCACTCCGCGGTTGCCGGTGGATCTGTGGGCTGCTCCACGCGTTGTTTCTCCCGCCGGTATTCATCTCGCAACAGCTTGACATGCGCCGACACATCCTGGCCCGTGAGATTCAGTGCAAACTGGGCATTCAAGCCGTCGGCTATCTTCTTGCTGGCCTTGCGGCGTCGCCTGTAGTTTTTATATTCCACCATGCTCAGATCCCAGAGCAGGCGTTGCTGCTCCAATTGGGCGATGAATGCCAGCATTATCGGATGCTCCTGCAGCCAGAAGAATGAGGTGTCCGTGGAGCTGGTCACCTAAAATTGGTTGGTAAATCTTAATGGAAAAATGTAACTAATCTAAATTACAGTTTCCAGCTGTTGACTGGTGGATTCCAGGGACGTGACGCTCTGACTATCGCCATCTGACCATCTGTCTATCTCCTGTTCCGCCTCCGAATCGGCTGGCGAAGATTCCTCTAGTTTCATTTGGTCCGCCATCTCTGTTTCCAGTGGATCCTCCTCTTTGGCAGAGGCTACTGCCTCCGGATCGTTGCCAGCACTGCTGCGCAGAGTCCTGAGCTCCACCCATGGCTTGATGTCCTCCTTTTCCCAATCTTCAAACAAATCCGAGTGCTCCGTCTCCAAATGCGACTTGAAGTCCTTGAATGTGTTCGTCGTGCGCCCCGGATCCGGACAGTAGATGCACTGGAAGGCAAAGGTGCGTGTCTTCCGCTTCCAAAGACACACGATGTCGCCGCAGCGTTGATATGGCGGCATTATGTTTAGCTGCAGAGTCCGGAATCCGGATAATTTGTCGTTTGTTTGATGAGAGGGCTGCCAACCTGCGTTAAAAGCTGTGAAAACAAGAAAGCAAATAAGCTTTAAGAGTCGCCGTGCAGATACCCTACAAATAGCAGACATTAATATAACTTTAAAAGAAATTTAAATAAAAGCAAATTAATTGTCTTAATTATTAAATGGTATCATTTGTAAGCTGTAATACTTTAAAAAATAATTTGTACGTACGACATATACATGGGTGATTTATATTACATGCAAAGTATACAGCCTTGATACCCTTTAGTTTATGGCAACAAGTGTTGGAAAACGCTTAAAACACTTGCCCACAAAATTTAAAATGTGAAAAATGTGTGTTTATTTAGAATTCTTACATAATTTCGGGACAAATAACATTTTCCAGCCTAAATACTACAAAATAGATAAATGCAAACTGATCAAGCAATTTCCGGGTTCCATTTAAATCCAGAAAACATATCCAGCATCCATTTAGGGCATCATGCGCAGGGCACCATCCAGACGGATAACCTCGCCGTTGAGCAGCGGGTTTTCGTAGATGGACTGCACCAGTTGAGCGTACTCGCTAGGTTCGCCGAGACGCTGCGGGAAGGGAATGGACTTGGCCAGGAAGGTGCGCACCTTCTCGGGCAACGCCGCCAGCATCGGGGTGTTAAACAGACCCGGGGCAATCGTGCAGATACGGATGCCCTGGGTGCTCAGGTCGCGGGCAATCGGCAGGGTCATGCCAACAACAGCCGCCTTGGAGGCCGAGTAAGCTGCCTGGCCAATCTGGCCATCAAAGGCCGCCACCGAGGCAGTGTTCACGATCACTCCGCGCTGTCCATCCACATTGGGCTCATTGGCACCCATTAGGCCGGCCGACAGGCGGATCACATTGAATGTGCCCACGGTGTTGATGTTGATCACACGCTGGAAGTCCTCCAGACGATGGGCCACGTTCTTGTTGAAGTTAAAGGTCTTCACAGCGGTGGCGGTTCCCGCACAGTTCACGGTGAAGTCCAGGCGACCAAACTTATCCTTGGCAATCTGCAGGGCAGCACTCACATCCTTCTCGGAGGTGACGTCCACGGGTACAAAGACCACTTTGTCGCCCAGCTCCTTGGCCACCTCATTGCCCTTCGACGAGGGCAGATCGGCCAGGATGACGCTGCCGCCCTGCTTGGCCAGACGCTCGGCGGTGGCACGACCCAGACCAGAGGCTCCTCCGGTGACCAGTGATACGGCGTTCTGGGGGTTATTATAAAAATATATTATAAGTGGGAGTATCTTTTGCAATCCATAAAGTATCTATCAATCTAGTATAAGCTAAGGTATAGCATATAGCATATAGCATATATATATCTCCAAAACCGGGTACAAATATTCACCAAACTTTCTTTTCATAGTAAAAGAAGATCCCCCCAGGCAGAGGAATGAAAGTCTGCTGCCGGTTTATCGTATTTCTCACTGGTGATATCAATCCTCCCCGAGTTATCGGCTTGGTTCCTGATAAAACCATCAAAAGGATGACACTTTATGTTATTGTATAACTCGCGAAGAAGTAATGCCTACTACTTGGAGGCGGGTACAAGGTGCACAGACACAGATACAGTTATTTATGTGCCATCGTCACAGACACGAGTTCAAATCCCAATTGGACTTTGCTCCCGGGCGCCGGGTCGTCGGGCCATTTTGTCTGCACTAATTCCCCTGTAATCGCTGTATAGCAATTAGTATTTAAGACACCCACATACCTTGATCATTTTGCAGTACTGTTGTTTTCCCTTAACGCGGTTGTAACAAAGTAAATTGGACAAACTTTAAACTGGGAACTTGTTGAGCAAGCCGAACCGGGAGCAGTATGACCGTATCGGGCCCTTTCAAAAATACAGCGCTGAAGCGGTATATAGAAGTATACCAAATATGTCAGTTAAAATATACCACAAAGATAAATAATTTAATTTTTAAATCACATTATTATAAATAAAGAGATAAAGTCTAAATTGTTTTACTACAATTTAAATATATTTCCTGAATTTTAAAAAGTAATGTAAGTTTTGACAAATTGAATAATGTAATAACTTATGAAATTAAAAGACATTTTATATTTTTTTGCTATAATATTTTGAATATTAAAAATTCAATTAATTTTTTGTGCTGTAAATTTTGTAATATTTTAATATTAAGACTTAAGATATTTTATTTGGACATGATATACTGCTAGAAAATAGTTGGAACAGCCTTAAGTCTAGTCTAAGACATTCATCTCCCTCTAATTGAATGCTTTAATTTATAATTATTAATATTAATTTAAATTGTCCAAGAACTCAGCTTAATCCGTCTTGTGGTAGGAGTGTCCTGACTATCATTTCCCGCCTGAAGGACATGTCCTTCAACCTTGACCATCCACTTTGTAGCGTTAGAAGCACCTTGAACTTCATCCAAATGACCTTTTTTTTTTACATTTTTTTGCTACCAAAATAAAGTTGATTTAAAAAATGTATGCAGAGATTAGCGTCGTGTGTGGATAGGGAACTGCGATCTCCGGAAGGGCATCCACGGATCGAAGACCAACCCCCTTTGTTTGGTTTTAATTAGCGTTTCTCCGGATTTGCCGCTACCGCCGCCTTTGATTGTGTGTGCCAGGCTGGCTTATCGGTAGGGTAAACAAGAGGCTGGTGGAAAGTACCTGTGGAGGAGGCGCCTCCACTTCCGGCGCTGCCGCCGGAGAAGAGCCCACTTGGCTCGTGCCGGGCTTGGAATAGGGTTTAAAGCGTTCAAGGTGTTCGCCCAGTGCAGTAGCTCTTCTCCAGCCATTGGATAAAATCTACGGTCTACTCCCGATAAAGACAACTTTATTGCCTCGCGATAACTTAAGCTATACAAAGTGTATGTGTATTTTTTTTCAGTGTGAGTGTGATAAATACATGTTAAAAAAAAAAAAAATATATATATATATTTATTATATTGTATGGGCGGATAGTAATCTAAGGTGATAGTTCCTTGAAAATCCTACATTCTCTTTTCAATATTTGCTCCATAAATTAAGGTTTAAGGATCAGGCCAGATATATATATATCTTTAATGTTTACTTACAAGAATTATCTGTGCTTCGGAATTTGCAACCTTAGATTACTTTCCGCCACTGAAACTCTTCATCCGATCTGCGTGCAGGCCACACGCTATATGGTTTATAATATAGATATATCTTTGTTAATGTACATTCGCCTAAAAGGAGAAGGAAGGGGAGATACTGATGGGAAAATTCAAAGTACAGATTCGATGTTAAAAGGTTTTCTCCGAGTGCTTACATATATATAGGATATATATCCTTCTCTGAACCATCCAACTCCATGGCTATATATATATATATTTCTTGGCTAATTTACAGTCTGGCGTAGGGTTAGCGGGGGGGCCCGATCCTATCAGAAGCATTGCAGCTGCAGCGCTTCGTCCCGGACCTGCCGCTTTGCCTGATGCATGGCCATTAGCTGATACCAGCCCCAGGCCAGGGTCCTGTCCTACATCTTGGGCTCCATGAGGGAACCGGACGAGCCGCCGGCGCTTGGTAGATGCAGCTGCATGCGCTCCAGCTGATCGGCCAGCAGACGCTGCTCATTGGTCAGACGCAGAATCTCCTGCTTCTCCTCGATGGTGTGACCCTTGCGCTTGGCCCGATACTGCAGCATTCGCTTGTAGCACTCGAGTATCTCCTGGTCCACTACATCCAACTTTCGCTTGATTGCAATCCGTTTGATCTCCTCGCTGGCGGCGGCACGAAGACGCTTGAGCTCCTCGCTGTTGAACTGCGAAACGCTGCTGATCTCCGCCGTAACGCGCTTGATCTCCAGCAGCACCTCGTCGACATCCTCGTGGGCGGCAAACTCACTGGGATCGATCAGTCCGTTCTCCAGCAGCTCCTTCTTCAGCCGCTGTTCAATGCCCACGCCATGTTTCAGCATGGAAAGCGATCGAAAGTTGCCAGAGGCGGCGGCCGCCGCAGCTGCAGCCGCCGAGGAGGATGAATGGGAGTGTGTGTTCTCATTGCTGCTGCTGGTGGTGCTGTTGCTATGCTCACCGACCGCCGCCTGCTCGCTGGGCAGCGTCAACAGCGACTCCTCCATGAGAGCGGAGACCAATCGTTGGGTTAGCGGTCCCGTGATGCTCTCCTCTACCATTCCCTCGGCCTTTTTGAGCATGGCCGAGGCATTCTGTGACTTTACGCGTGCTCCGCCCGGCTGAAGGGCCTTCATGTCCTCCTGCGCCCACACCGTAGAGTAGTGGGGACCCAAGGTGGGCACCGGCGGCACCAAAGGCCCGCGGTACTGCTCCAGCAGGTCGTCGATGAGGCGCAGATCCTCGTTGGTCAGCGGCATGCAGAAGGGCTCGATGGAGAGCCAGAACTTGTTGGGTGTATCGTTCTTTGGCACCGACACCTTGGGCAGCTGTGGCTGGGGCTGGTGGTGCGGCAGCACTGATCCAGAAGCATTGGCGGACACCAGGGTGGGCAGATAGTCCATACTATCGTCTGTGTGGTTGGCAATGGGGCTGTTTTTGGCCTGATGCTTTGCGGAGCCAGAGACGCCGCCCTGCTGCTTAAGGATGGTCATTGAGGAGTGCTTTTTGCGCACGCCCGTCGGCTCATCGCGCTTCCGCTTGGTGTTGCTGGAGGATGAGGCGCCGCCGCCACCGCCGGACGGGCTGCCCACACCTGTGGAAGAAGTGCCACCAATGCCCAACAGGCCATTGAGCATGCTGGACTGACAGGGCGGCGATCCGGGCACACGGTCCATCTTACGGCGATCCTGGCGCTTGTCGTCCTTGTCTAGACTGTCGTACTCGGCCTTGAGTACGCGCGTCCTGAGCGCCACGTTCGAGAGCATCTGCTCCAGCTCCAGCTGCACGGCGTCCAGATCCTCGGCGGCCAAATGATCGTCCGACGGCCGCTGCAGCGCGGTGGCAATAGTTGGCAGCAGCCTGGGCACATCCCGGGTGCGAATCACAGGTATGATGACGCCACCGGGCGTGGCCAGTACCTCTGCCTCCGAGGAGGCGCTGGCGGAGGCCGACTTACCGCCACCAGTGCCATTACTGGGCAATTTACCAGCGCCGCCCGACGACGCCGAGATGCCAAAGCCACTAGAGCTGCCTGCTCCGCCGGCGGATGTCCCGCCACCGCCGCCACCAAAGTGGCCCAGCTTGAGGTTCTTCAGGTTCGCACTCATGAAACGGACCAGCGATTGGCACTATAATGTGCAGCAGTTGTGGTGAAATTAACGATTTGTTTATTTTTGCTCGAATCGCAATTTGTTAGTTGTTAATGTAGGCAGTGTGACCAGGTTTCGAATATTGGGAATAACTTCGGCACGCTCAGTGGGATATACTGGAAAATACCGAAAATTAATCGTCTATACAGTGGATACTGAATAGGTGAATTTGTTTTCGAAGTCTGTGGGTTTTAGGATTAATAATTTCGTTTCATAAAGATTGTTTCATTATCATTTAAAATTATAACTTAAAAGCATTAGTTCTTTGCCGGTTATTAACAAATAAACAATATAATAATAAGAAAACAATATAATCGGTTATGATTTACCGCGAACGTTAGCCAACACTGCATTTTATTGAAAGGCGCGCGCGTTTTCCAATACTTGCTGCGCTGGTCTGTTTTTGGTTTCGTTCTTTGTTGTTGTTTCGTTTCGCCCTCGCCTCGCATCGTTTCGACTGATATCTGCTCGGCCGCGGAGCATTTCTGTGATAAGCAGTGTACTTAACAAATCAGCGACTGTTGACAATTAGTAATGGCCAGCGACGGGGCTTGAGATGCCAAAATAGCAGCAGCAGCAGCAGCAGCATTGGGACCAACTGCAACTGCAATTGCAGCAGTAGCGGTGCAAGTATGTATGTAACTTTATGTAATTGCAATGCAATTGCCCCCGCCCGCCGTCCGATCCGATAATCTCGGACTGGGTGCCTCCAATTGCGCCTCGTTTGTCCCAATTGCCAGAAGTCAAGTCCCCCAAATCACAAGACCCACAAATTGTCGATTCTCGAGCTCAGCTGCGCTGGCGCTCTGCCGCTAACGCTGACGCTGGCTCTCCTCTGCCGACGCCGCCGTCGCTGCCGCCAGTCGGAACTTAAAATCAAAATAAAAAAAAAAAAAATATATACATATATCAAAGTCGAAGATCAGCAAATCAGTTGGAAAAATCGTCGCAGCTTTAAAAACGTTTACTTTCTCGGAAGTGGGTAATATTTTAAGCTGAAGCTTTCAAAAATATCTGAAAATATCTTGGCTTTGTGTGCTTTGTTCTTGGATTTACCGATGTATATATGTCGGAGATTACCCTGAAATGTCAGTTGTAATTACTATTTGTAAGTCTCCAAGTGTATCGAATATGGAAATAAAGGAAGAGTAAAATAAGTAACAACGAGAGAATAGGAAGAGAACTTATTAAGAAAGAGCGTGGTGGGGAAAAAGAGAGTATTCCCTACCGAGTGTGGCGCAATGACGAGTAGAGAAGGACGAGAAAGTAGAGAAAGGGAAAAGTGCAAGTGAGTTCGAGCGAGACTGTGAAGGAAAGCGGACGAACTACTTAGTCATTGCGACTCACTGCGCTTAGAAAAGAAAAGGAAACTACCATGGCCGATAACATTGACCCCCCATCCCTGACATCAGAAGTGGGATCACCACCCCTACAAGACAACCCGGATAATGGCTGGCGCACACTTCTGGAAGCGCAAAGCAAAGTGATTGCAGAACTTTTGAAAGCTGCACAGTCCACGTCGACGCCTGGCGCACGTGCCTTTTCTGCAGTGCTACCATCTTTCGACCCTGAAGCTGCCGACGCAGACGCAGCAGCATGGTGCAAAACGGCGAACCTGATTTTATCTGAACATCCGCAAGAAGGTGCATCCTTGGTAATGACGCTCAGCAAGTCGCTTCACGGTAGCGCATCGCAGTGGCTGTCGCAAATTTGCTACCCTGGGATGAGCTGGACACAATTTAAGGAATTGTTCATGGAACGCTACGAAGGCAACGAGACGCCTGCAGCATTGTTGCTAGACATGCTGAAGGGAAGCCCAAATCCTGAAGAATGCCTCTCCGTGTACTCCAGCCGGTTGGTTACATCACTCTTGACCAAGTGGAAAGGAATGACGCACGAAGAAATTGCTGTATCGTTGGTCCTAGCTCATACATCCCAAATTGATTCCAGACTGCAGAGATTAGTGTTTACAACAAATCTAAAAACACGTGCGGAGCTACAACAACAACTGAAAGCTCATACGTTCGCAAAAAAATCTGAATACTCTGGAGTGGAGCAAGGCCCGGAAAAGAAGAGGTTCAAGACGCAAACGCCGATAAAATGCCATAGTTGTGGAAAACTTGGACACAAAGCAATGGAGTGCCGCAAGAGAAAAGCAGAGGAAAGAAATGAGACGAGAACAGCCCTTAGCAACAGCAGACAAGCCGTGAGATGTTATAGGTGTGGCAACATTGGTCACATTGCATCAGTGTGTACTAAGGGGACAGCAACAGCGAATATAAACATCGAGAAGAGAGTGGACATGTGTGCGGTACTTCAGCCTAAGGAAACTGCAATACAATCTGGTGAGCGGTTTCCATTTTTCTTCGATTCGGGTTCCGAATGCTCGTTGGTGAAAGAAAGCATCAGCGAGAACCTTGCCGGAAAGAGATTCCATAATCTGGTAGTGTTGAGAGGCATAGGTGACAATGTTGTCAAAAGCAATAAGCAAATTCTGTCCACCGTACAAATTTCAGGATTTAAATTTGAATTGTTGTTTCACGTAGTTGATGAAAATTGCCTTAAATATGACATGATATTTGGACAAGATATTTTTCAACGTGGTTTTGGAGTTACTTTACAAAGTAACAAATTCGATATTTATAGAACTCAAACTGTAAATAAATAAAACATAAATAAAACGGTTCAGAGACGATGTATCGCTTTAGTGAGAACGAGAAGCTAATAGTAAGGGAGAAAATTCAGCAAATGTTGGAAGCAAAATTAATAAGACCTAGTTGTTCTCCTTTCGCTTGCCCAATGTTAATGGTTACAAAAAAACTATAAATAAAAAAAAAAAAAAAGGATGGTAGTGAGAGATTGTGCATTGATTATAAAGAACTACACACAAATACAGTATCTGATAGATGTCCCTTGCCATTGATTTCAGATTCGATAGAAAGAACTGCGTTTGTGACCACGGAGGGTCAATATGAATCTTTAGCAGTGCAGCTTGAACTGAAGAATGCGTCTCCTATATTTATGATGAAATTGTTAAAGCATTTGGGGTTTAGCATAATTGTTTGCGATGGTTTGCATGGATGACGTGTTGGTCATGGCAGGCTCGGAAGATTAGGCTTCCCGAGGACTGAAAATTGTATTATATGTTGACTGTACCAGGGTTTTCATTTAACGTTGCCAAATATGGGTTTCTCGAACCTACTACGCAGTGTCTGGGCTATGAGCTACGCGGTAGAGAAATCAGACCCAATTCCTAGAAAATTCTTACGTTAAAAATTTGTCCTTTCAATCGGTGTAATTAGGCGTAAGACCATTTATTGAATTGGCGTCTTATTTTTAAAAATTTTTGTCTCGATTTTCTCAAATTGGGAAACCGATTCATTAACTTCAAGTACTTTTACGTGAAATTACGATTTTCAGAAATTACAACGAACGTCTTTTAGTGCTATTACAAGTGAGCCTGTAATCGTTATTTAGTTGACAGGTGTAAGCTCTTGTGGATATGTTTCAATACTAATAATTAATTAATTAATGGAGACCCTTATGTTGGTGCAGTATATTGGTAGAACTATGTGTCTTGTGGAGTCCAAGTAGCTTTCATATGAATTGGAAACATTGGTTGGCGTACTATTATTCTAACATTTTTGGCATTATTTGCTCAGATGAGAGTTCGTAGTCTATACTGACTGCAAATGTAATCATTGCGGAAATAATTGAAATTAAGTGCATCATCGGTGGCCATACTTAAAATCGTATGATTTTAAAATATAGTATGTGGATTTATTTTTGTGTCCAGAATTCACGTGACTGATTTCAGGATTTATTGATATAGTTTATAAACAACTAAAGATAATTGAAATTAAATTGAGTTACAAAGAGGGGTTTAAAAAAAAATACAGAGAGGTGTGAGGTAGTGTTGTCTGCCAGTAGTGTCCCTTAAATTTTGTTGGTTGATTATTAATCAAAGTTATAAATCCGTTATGTATTTGGGTAAAAAAAAAAAAAAAAAATAGACTCAGCAAGATTTATCAATGTTGTTGGAAATGACTAAGTTTAAAGATTGTTGAAAGTTGTATAATGTGTAAAGCTCTAAAGTAGTCATCTGGCTGGATACCAGGACCGCAGAGGTGATGGCAAGATGCTCTTGGCGGGGTGCAACTTGCGGCGAACTGCACAGTTAGTAGTGCAATCAATGCAAGTCCTTAAGAGATGCCAATCGGACCCATCCTCTGGGCTTGATACCACCACATGACAGAGAAAAGTATAGACAAAGAAAAGTTTAAAGTTGTGTTATGCTGAGCTGTCGGTAAAATGGTGCAAAAGGAAGAGCACTAAGATTAAAGGCAAGATGAATTTAAAATGGAAGAGCTGTTAAGAATGAGAAAGGAAAGAAAAAAAAAGGATAAAGGAATGAAGATGGAAAATTAAGATGAAGAACGGCACCAAACAGAGCTGGATCCGAAGAGGACCCTTTGTCATTATAGAAAAGCTTGATGGTGGCCGATATGTTTTGAGATATTTGTCGAGTAAGCGAAATTTTAAGTAGTTGCCTGCGATGCCTGTTGAGGTAGATGCAGATGAATGCGAGAGATCGCCGACTGAGGCACTCGTAGGTACCATAAAATCAAAGCAAGAGATCTGTATTTTAAGATGGTTGAGGTAGTGCCATACACAGGGACTAAATTTGAATGATTGTGTGAAGCGTCGCTAAGGTGCGGCAAGAGTCCGGTACTGTGGTATGTGTGTGTGGTAGCCAGACGATTGAACTTGAGCAGAAGAGAGCGTGCACTCTAATTGATGTGTTAAGGAATAGCCTGCTAAGTTAATGTCTGATGGATATCCAAACTGTTGGGTTTGTGCGGAAGAGAGCATGTACTCTATGGTCGTGAAAGATTATCCCGCCAAACTAACATTTGAAGACACTGGAAGTGTAAGCGAGAGATCGCCGATTGAGGCACTCGTTGGTGGAATATAAGGCTATGAGGGTCCAGAGAGACCGTGACGCAAAAGGTGCGTGTGAGCGTTGCAAAGTGTGCAGCAAGAGCCTGGCAAGAGTTTGGTACAGTGGTAGCCAGACGATTGAACTTGAGCGGAAGAGAGCGTGTACTCTAAACGGTGTGTTAAGGAATATCCTGCTAAGTTAATGTCTGATGGAATGCAAAATTGATATCCAAACTGTTGGGTTTGTGCGGAAGAGAGCGTGTACTCTATTGTCGTAAAAGATTATCCCGCCAAACCAACGTTTGAAGACACTAGCAGTGTAAGCTAATTGATATTGAAGAGTTATGTAGAGCAGTATGAGTAAAGAAGCTAAGTGATGATTATTGCGAAGTTATGGCAATGAAGGTTGAGGCCAATTTTATGTAGAACTAAGCAACACGAGGTCGTGTTATAGTCAGGAAGGCCGTGTCGGAGATTACCCTGAAATGTCAGTTGTAATTACTATTTGTAAGTCTCCAAGTGTATCGAATATGGAAATAAAGGAAGAGTAAAATAAGTAACAACGAGAGAATAGGAAGAGAACTTATTAAGAAAGAGCGTGGTGGGGAAAAAGAGAGTATTCCCTACCGAGTGTGGCGCAATGACGAGTAGAGAAGGACGAGAAAGTAGAGAAAGGGAAAAGTGCAAGTGAGTTCGAGCGAGACTGTGAAGGAAAGCGGACGAACTACTTAGTCATTGCGACTCACTGCGCTTAGAAAAGAAAAGGAAACTACCATGGCCGATAACATTGACCCCCCATCCCTGACATATATATATATTTCTTGATATTTCCTGAAAGTTTTATTTGAAAAGCTTGTGCCTTGTTTGATTAGCCGGGAAATAAGTGAAAATTATACATTAAATGTGATTCTATTTAAACTGTTTTAAGGTTTATTTAAGGATTTTTAAGGATTGAAAATATGAACTAGAAGATATTTTTGTTAGAATCAGTTTCGCTTTTTAGATCTGTCTGTATTTTATCACCAACTCTGAGAAACAACTGATTATAAATCTTATAAGAAACGTTAAAGGTGCTTTTATCAATTGACATTATATACCTTTTGCAAAAGGTAATATAGCTGTGAAGGTGATAAGTCTATAAAATATATATTACTCTTTGCTTCAGGCTGTGTCTCTGTTTTGTTTTTGCATTTTTATTTTAAAGGCAACAGTCTAAACTGCCTTTAGGGAATTATTATACTAAAATAGAACATTACTTATAATGTTTAAAACTAGTAAAGAAATAAGTTAAATATCCTATAAATTAATAGTTATTCAAATAAATAAATAATTTAAATTTTATATAAATTATTTAATTTGAAATGCAGGAAAACATAAAAAGAATAATGATTAACAAAGGAATATTTTAAAAGGTTTTTCTTTAAAAGTTACATGAAACCCTTTATAATAACATCTTATAGTTATACAAAAAAAAAAAAAAAACACTTTAAAACCTTTATAATAATTCCTTATAGATTTAAATAATTGAAATATCCTATAAATTAATAGTTATTTAATTTAAAATAATAATCATTAATTTAAGAATACCTCGGTAACTATCTAAAAAGTTACATTAAACCCTAGATAATAATACCTTATAGATCTATAAAAGGTATTTTAAACCCTTTATAATAATATCTTATAGATGCCACACTTGAATCTGAAATCTTTTTCAAGATAATCAATTGTAAATTTCCTTTCTCCCGTATTTATTTTATTGTTTAAATTCGAATGATTTATCAAAGAGTGTAAAATGGACAAGGGTATTTTCTAGTTCGGTCCAAAAGTCGAACCATTTTCCCATTGCTTTATTGATCAAATATTTGCGACTACGTGTGTGCCGTCGGTCGATGTCTTGACGATTATAGAAGAGCTTTGTGTGTCAGCCGGTGTTGCTTTTGTTTTTAGTCACTAGCCACTAGCCACTAGCACATGTTTTATACGCCTAACTGTTTCGTTATCAGTGCTAATTAAACTACAGAAGAGAAATCTGTGAACGGCGGCGGCGATAAGGCGATAACGAGTGGGCCTCCTCCTCGCTCCGTTCGAGAGCGGCTTCAGATCCGCCGGCAATGTCGATCGATCAGGGACTCCAGGCACTCCTCCTAATCCATTATTACGATGATTGTTTGCCATTGTGTTCGGTGTGTGTGTGTGGTCTAATCAATCAGCCAAGCCTAGCCGGTCAGTCGATCTATTTATAGTGTCCCATACCTTTGACGTTAATTGACCGCCAGTCGGAAACGTCCACCTCGTTCCGCCGCCCCCCTGCTCCCACTGACCCTGTCATCAATTATCGCCCAGGTATATTGGACACTCTTCTGGGTTCTCCCGTGTGCTGGAGGAAGTGTTTAAACCGATGAAGGCAACCTTAGAACCTTTTATTTGGTGGGATTTGTTTGATTTTTGAGCATTAAGAGGTCCCAATGGCTGAGGTTGGAGCTAGAAAGCAGAATCCATTAAGAAACCATTCCTAAAGTCATAATTTAAAAATAATTTTCAAGTAAAAAGGAAGAAAAAAGAAAAAGCAGCAACAGCGACACTTGGCGACGCAAATATTTGTGCAATTGATTAAAATGTTTCCACATCTCCTCCACTGCAGAGTCTCCAGTTTCTGTAGCCATATCTCCTCGCTTTTGATGTTTGCCTTGGCGACAAAAATTTTCCAATTTGCTTAACTCGTTATGGGGGCCTTGTTAATAAAATATGGGTACATTCTGTAAAGAAGAGCCGCCCCAACCCTCAATAATTTGTTATATTATGGCTTATGTATATATATATATATATATATCTTTTTATATACTTTTTTTAGGGTATTATAAATTCAGTCAGAAGCTTGGAAAGCATTGAAGGAGTCTTTTCTGACCCCATAAATCATATAAAATATATATATTTTTATTTAATGCGCTAGGATAAATAAATAAATGATTAAAATTTAATTATTATTTGATATCTATAAATATTTTATACATCTTTGTTATATATTTTTGTTTGGATCAATTATTAATGGTCCAATTGCAAACTGTAAGGGTATACAAACTTCGGCTCGCCAAAGTTTGAGCTTTCTTTTTTGTTCTGCTTATTTTTCCAGCTTGTTTTTTTTTTTTGTTTTGTTTTTGGGGCTCTGGCTTATCAGTTGTGGAAAATACAACAAGAAAAACACACCCACCCATTGGCATGCGATTTACGATTTACGATTCTCGCCTTGTTTCAGGTGGCTTAGTTAATACGCCGCGATTAGTTAGTTACTGCATTGATTTGCGCCATTCGTTGGGGTCGCCCATCCGTTAAATTGCTTGGAGAAAGCCGAGCTAACGGATAATATCATTGGACACCCATAGAGCTTCCATAATACGTGACATTACTCATTCATATTCAAAGAAAGATAGAAATAAGACTCTATTTTGATTGTGAGTCACTACCAAAATAGTGTTTTCTTGGGGCATAATCTTTTCTTGATACCTGATTTCATTTGGAATTCATTCATTAAGGGAAGCTTCTTAAAGATTTATCTTTTAGGTAAAGTAAACTAGAAACATATTTCGCTTTTTAAATATTCTATTCTTTTCTTGAGTTGTTCGATTTTCAAACTTATGAGGAAGTGCCCCTGACAACTCTCACATTTGATCGTTTCAGACGACGCGCTTCAGTGCCGATCGCCGATCAACGGAACGGATACGATACGGTTTGTACTGGACTAAGTTGAGAGCCCTGGACTACAGCCATGAAGTTCGCCGAGCACCTGTCGGCGCACATAACGCCCGAGTGGCGCAAACAGTACATCAACTATGAGGTGAGTTTCGACCTGAAAATAAACACACAGCGAAATATATCTCAAGCTAATTTATAAAACAGGAAATGAAGGCCATGTTGTATTTGGCCGTGGAGGAGGCCCCATCGGTGGAGAGTGTCGAGGATGATGTGCTGAAGCGTCATTTTGCCAACTTTGATGAGAATTTCTTTCACTACTGCGACAAGGAGCTAAAGAAAATCAATACATTCTATTCGGAAAAGCTGGCGGAGGCAACACGAAAGTTTGCCACCTTAAATGCGGAGCTAAAGACCTCCATTGAGGAGTCGGAGCGCAGTGCCAAAAAGTCCAAGAGCCAGAAACGTCATGCCGCTCTGCCGGATCGTAAAGCCCGCGAGCTAAAGTTGGCCTTCAGCGAGTTCTATCTGAGTTTGATTCTCCTGCAGAACTACCAGAATCTGAATCACACGGGCTTTAGGAAAATTCTAAAAAAGCATGACAAGGTAAGAAAGGATTTACAGCCACTGCAGTGGTTGAACCTTGACCTTAATAACAGTTATTTATTGCTGTTTGGTATCATAAATAATGCAAATAATTTATAGCACCTAAGTATTTGGTTTCAAAATAGTAATTGTTATCGCCACATTTAAGCCAGAAGGCTTTTTAATTATTTGCTTTCTCGTTTCCCGTTAAGCATCATAAAACGTTGGTGAATCATTGGCCAAAAGGGGGTTTTCTTTTTTTTTTTTTTAAGAAAACTTATTAGTTTTTGTTTATCTTCTCAGCTTTTACGCGTGGATAGCGGCGCCAAGTGGCGGCAGGAGTATGTTGAGGCTTCGCACTTCTTCACCAACAAGGACATTGATAACATCATTAACGAAACGGAGACCACGGTCACTGGTGAACTGGAGGGCGGCGATCGGCAAAGGGCCATGAAACGCTTAAGAGTACCGCCGCTGGGCGAACAGCAAAGTCCTTGGACCACCTTCAAGGTGGGTCTCTTCTCCGGCAGCTTTATAGTGCTTGGCATTGTGGTCGTACTGTCGGCAATCTTTCACGAGATTAGCGGCGAGAATTTGAAGGTCACTTTCCGTCTGTACCGCGGTCCCCTGCTCATCATCGAATTCATATTTCTCATCGGCGTGAATATCTACGGCTGGCGTTCGTCCGGCGTGAATCACGTTCTTATCTTTGAGCTCGATCCGCGTAATCATTTATCGGAGCAACATCTCATGGAGCTGGCTGCCATCTTTGGCGTTGTATGGACGCTCAGCATGCTGAGCTTTCTGTATAGCGCCAGCCTGGCCATACCGGCGTTCATCAATCCGCTGACGCTCACGTTGATCATGGTGCTCTTCCTGGCCAATCCCTTTCATGTTCTCCATCACGACGCCCGCTTTTGGCTATGGCGGATCACGGGTCGCTGCCTCTCCGCCCCGTTCTTCCACGTGGGCTTTGCCGATTTCTGGCTGGGCGATCAGTTGAATTCGCTGGCCACCGCCATACTGGACTTTGAGTATCTCATCTGCTTCTACTTTACGAATGGCAACTGGACGGAGGCCAGGGATGCGTCCATCTGCATGGAGAAGGACTTTATCATAAGGCCGATTGTTAATTGTTTGCCCGCTTGGTTTCGATTTGCGCAATGCCTGCGGCGATATCGCGATTCAAGGGAGGCCTTCCCCCACTTGGTCAACGCCGGCAAATATTCTACCACATTTCTCGTTGTGATCTTTGCCACCCTCAAGAGTTTCCACAGTCGTGAGTGGCTTTGTTTGCTTGTGAAAGTTGTTCCTTTGTGTTAAGGTTTCTTCCTTGCAGCGAACTATGCCAGCACATTTGACAATCCGTACACATGGCTGTGGATCATCGCCTCGATTGTTTCCTCCTGCTATGCCTACACATGGGACATCAAAATGGATTGGGGTCTGTTTGATAAGAATGCTGGAGAGAATACGTTCCTGCGTGAGGAAGTCGTCTACTCATCGACGGTGAGTGCTTTTGCATAGTTTTTTTGTGAATTCAAGTTAAGCAAAAAGAAAACTTAAGCTAATCAATTTTTGTATTGTTTTTTTTAGGGCTTTTATTACTTTGCCATTGTGGAGGATCTGGCGCTTCGCTTCATTTGGGTGCTTTCCTTCTACCTCACCGAGATGAAGATCGTTAGCGGTGACATTATGACCTCCATTACTGGCATCTTGGAAGTGTTTCGGTTAGTGAAATATCAAATTTAAAAAAAATATCACAAAAATATAAATGTGAATCCCCCCCCTCCGACAGTCGCTTTGTTTGGAACTTTTTCCGCTTGGAGAACGAGCATCTGAACAATTGCGGTAAGTTCCGTGCCGTGCGCGATATCTCCATAGCGCCGCTGGACTCCTCCGATCAGGCGCTCATCCTGCGCATGATGGACGAGGGCGATGGCGTAATCAATCGCTACACTAAGACGAACCGGCCCAAGCCCAAGAAGGTCAAGGATCCGGAGAAGCGAAGTCTGTTGCAGCCGCGCGGCTCGCTGCCCGATCTTCGGATTGATATGGATAGTAAAAAGTTGTAGGCGAGTATAGGGCTTCCTAAATGAACGATTTTGCGGTTAATAATTCTATGTAAACCAAGTTTTTTTTTTCTTGTTTAATTTCTCTATATATATATACTTTTTTTTTTTTTGTTTTAGCTAATTTGTATATTTAGTGACTAAGTACTTAAAGTTGAAGGGAGTGAGAGTGAGAGAGAGAGCAATAATTAGTGCCTAAGATTTCGAACTAATGTAGCATTCCATTTATATGCCTCTAAACCTATGTCTATAACGAAACCCAAAACCATTAACTGCATATAATACCAATATACCCTAACCCTAAGCCACATTCCCACTTAACCAAAACCGCTAAAATTAGAGCCAGTGTTTGGAGCTGAGAGAGAACGGCAGTATTAGTACTTAGAAAAGGCGAACAAACCATCCAAAAGCCAGCAACCACATTCCTTTATCTCTATTTAGTTAGAAAAATTCAAACTGAGACCGAAAACGGAAAACCCTAAGGAATTGTACATATAGACTACATTTGTATATTGTTGTTGTGCCTCCTGTGTGTGATTTGCGTATGTGTATGTGTGTGTGTGTGTGCAAGAGAATCCAAAACTGAGACTTAAGTTGTAAGTTCTGGGCTTGCCTTGAATATTACAAGAACTCAAAACAGACTTGAAACGTGCAACGTTGTATATACAAAAAAAAATACACTATATCTCTATATATATACCTATGATTCAGTTATACAAACGTTTAGATTTTGGAAATTTATTCTATATTGGAAATGTTGGCAGAAACAAGAACGGAAATATCATTTTCGGAAGGTTTTCGATGGTCTAAACTTGTATTTCGACTTATAAAAATTGCTATAAGTCAGGTTTTTGAGATATTCTGTGGACTTGTTACGATTTAAGGACTCATTCTTGCGGCTATATTAATCTGAGAACTTGTCAATTATTTTTGCCATAATATAGCTCGGGTTTTTTTGAGCGCCTTAGACTTGCTTTTGATACAACAAAATATTAATAATAATAATAATAATAATTGTATAAAAAACGTAAGCACAATATGGGAACTACTACTTAACAAAAGGTTGGTGTTTTTGCTGAAATTGTTGGAGTTTTAGCACCTAAAAGCAGGCAACGATTTAACAAGGAATTTCAGAGTCACACTCACTGCTCTCCGGATATCTCCTAGTAGATCTTAAGCTATATATCCTAGACCAAACACACACACCCGTACACCTGCACACACCCACTGTAATTGTAATTAAAAACCGAAATAAAGACGCCTTGGAAGTATGCAGCAATGAAAATCAAAACTATAAATCAACTTAAAGGAAAAATTGGTATCTAAATCTTAAGAGAGATTCTCCAGGACACCCGAGACCAGGGCCGTGCCTCGCATTATCCAAAACTCGGGATCATTTTTGCTTAGCAGCAAAATGGACAGTATAAAGTTGGTAGAATGACCGGTGGTGGAGAGGACACCAGATCTCTGTTGGGTCTTGTAGACCGGCGCCTCGTACCGCACCAGGGGGGCAATCTCCAGGCAGGGCTTAAACCGCACCACCGGCATTCGGGTGTACAGCTCCCCAAAGTTGGCATCGCACAGTCCGCCCTGGCTGAGATCCCAGCGAGCGGCCTCAATGAAAATTCCATGCACATGGATATTGGCATCCGTGCACTCTGGCAAGGTGCCATACAGTTTTTGGTCCTGCAAAATAATAATAAAAGATATTATAAAGATTATAGATACCTTTTCATTCCACACTCACATTAATGTCATGGGTGTGCGCCTCGAAAAAGTCCTGCTGCACCAGGACCTTTTCCACCACATCAAAGTCAATCTTTAGCGAATCAATGGGCAAAGTACGCCGGCGAGCGTATGTCTGCAGGATGCCGGTGAGAAAGGACTGCGGAAAGAAGAAGCCACTCAGCCAATAGGAGCGTGGTGCCCCATTCTCTGCCCAATGCTGGATGAAGTCAATCCGCCGCTGGAAATCTGCAATGTAGCTGGGCAGCGGCTTGATGGAGAGGAAGCTGCGCTTGGCCCACGATGCGGGCACTATGTTGGAGAGCAGAGCCTTAAAGACATTCTCCAGTTCATCGGACATCACCACCAGACCCTTGATGGCCTTCGAGAGGTTGGCCAAGCTGTCATGGATGATGCCCAGCGATATATTAAAGCGGTCAATCTCCTGGACCAGCACAATGGTCAGCGATGGCACCTGGCCCTTGCTGTCCAGCTGTAAGAAAAGGATACCCAGTAGTGAAAGTGGATGATTCTGTGATCCTGACCAGGTCAACCTACCACCGAAAGCGTGTCGTGCAGGGGCTCCCTTTTGATCTTCTGAATCAGAGCCTTTTGAATCCTCGAGATGATCTGCTGGCATATCTCATTCTCTGCCGCCTGACCCTCGTCCGCCGCCGATCTGGGCTGGCCCAGCAGCAAAGTATTGATAAAGAAGGCCGTCTCCTTGGTCTGAAAGACAATATTGGCATTCTGGTTCATGCCAAAGATCTCTGGATCCTCCAGCACCGGAAAGTCCTGCACGAACAGCGAGTACTCGGCCAGCGTTTTCTTGCGAGGATCACGATAGTAACTATCGCCGCGACAGTACTTGTACTCCGGCTGGATGATCCTCTGAGAAGAAAAGATCATGAGAATAGTGCGCAGGCAGCGCAGGTCCCAGTAGTCCGTCACGCGGCCGCCCCAGGTGATCTCGCCATTGATGTACAGGATCGCCTCCCATGGTATGTCATCGAGGACTCCCCGATCAATAAAGAAATCGAGTGTCTTTAGGCCACATTCCCGATCGCTCTCGCTGAACTCGTAGGTTATGTTCCAGCCAAGCGGGCCGAACTTGCGCCGCTCCAAAAGCACCGCATGGAACATGCACAGCCCAAAGACAATGGCCCGCCAGTTGCCATTCTGGATGTGCTGCTCAAAAAAGTCCGGCTTGAGATCCGCCAAGGCACCCAGTACGTTCGCCTTGATCCCCTTTGGCGGCTCATTGGTGATCTTCACCGAGTTTTGCAGGACACTAATCGGAAACGTTTGAATGGGCATGGAGGAGAGGTACAGCCGGAACTCTGGATGAGCCTTGGTAATGCCCAGCGTTAGGTTGCGTACGATCGTCTCCAGCGTCTGCATCCACGAGGTGGCCAAGTGGCAGTTTTGCAGGAACACCCAGTGACCCAAACGCAGGCTCTTTTCAATCAGATTCTCCGCCAGCGGACCCTGGCCCTGGCCCAGCGAGATCGAGTAGTACTTATCGGTGAACTGCATCTGGGTGGTGAACTTCAAGAAGCCCGACATGGGATCAGAGCCGGTGGAGAGAACAAAGATGAGCGGCGTTACAGCGGAAGTGTCCAGGTAGCTAAAAGGGATTAAAGTCAAACTAAGGAGAGGGGACTCCTGGATACTCGAAACTTACACGGTGCTCAGCTGGGTGCCGCCCTTGGAGTCGGTAAAGTACCTTCCCACGGTGGCCTGGAGATAGCAGACCACGTTCAGAAGGAACCTCGGCTTCCGGAACACCGAAATGAACATGAGCTTGTGGAAGATTCGTAGCTTCTTGTCCCACTTGTCCGTCGGCGTCTTGTTGGTTTCGGCAAAGTCAAACACCTCCGTGTTGCCCATCAGCTGCAGAAAGAAGGGCTTGTCCAGCTCGTCGGTGAAGCCGCCAAAGGCCGAGCCGAAGTTGTCCTCCAGATACAGGCAGGTGTCCCACTCCAGCTGGCTGAGCTTAATGCTGTCCGGCTGCTTCTTTTGCCGGATATTTCCCACGGCGCCGCGAGTGAGGAAGTTGAACTCCTCCTCGCTGACACGACCCTCCTGCCGCTCCACAGACAAAGCCAGCAGGAAGCTAAAGATGATCTTGTGGTTCTCGAACAATCCCCGAGATATATTATCGAAAATGGCCTTCAGCTCGTCGGTCATCATGGTAGCAATGCGCACTTCCACGCTTTGCTGGGGATGCTCCAGCTTCAGGACATTGCAGAAGACTTGGGTGAAGTACTTGAGGCTGTACTGGTACATGGGATCAATCTCGGCCAAGCCGGCCACCACAAAGTACAGGATGGCACCTCGGGAGGCCAGGATACGATAACGTTCCCGCGAGGCTGTAATAACCTTCTCCGTTTCCTCGGTGTCAATCAGACGGGCGGCAATGATCAGAGATGTTTCCTGAAAGAAAACGGGATGAGCTGCTGCCACTGGGAAGCACTATCGGGAAGCTACCAACCTTGGCATCATTCAGGGTCTCCACCAGCTCCTCGTCGTCTAAGATATTGCCCTCAGAGTTGAAGAGCAGCTTTAGGACCTTGTCCTCAAGCCCCAAAAGCATCTGCTTGTCCGAGTTGATCTTGACCACCAGGTCATTGCGCTGGGCCTCCATCACGGGCAGCTCGATGGCTACAATGTCGCTAAGGGTGAGGAAAAGGATCAGGAATCAAGGGATCAGGATTCAAAGGATTAGGAATCAAGAGATCAGGAATCAAGGGATTAGGAATCAAGGGATCAGGAATCAAGTATATATAAATAGGACTCACGCCAGTAGCTGATCCTCGAGACCCATCTCCGTGACCAGAAAGTTGACCAATGTCACATTGATGCACACCTCGGGCAGATAGTGGGGATTGGGCAGCTTGGTGGTCATATACAGCTTAAAGCCATCATCATAGTCAATCACCTGGTCGCCCAGCTTGAGGTAGGTGCGTCCCTCAAAGCGGTATGTCTCCCGCTGGAGTATGGGCCTCAAACTGGGATCAATTGTCTCGTTGATCTCCTCCAGCAACACCGGATAACCCTGACGCACGCTGTTCTCCAGGACACGCATCATGCTCGAATCGGTCATCTTGATCACCTGCAGATTGTTGTTTCTTTCCATGTTGCGGATCCAGCGATTGGCCTGCTCCTGCGGATCGATCATGAGAGCCCATCGCAAGGCTCGCGTGGCATAGATGCCATTCTCAATGGATATGTTATCCTTGGGCAGACCATCAACATTCCACTGGCGCATCTCATAGGGGTCGCCGAGGACCTTGAGCAGATTGAACTCCGGACTGGAGGGAATCTTGAACTCGCTGCACTTGGTCACCCATAAGGCGCACATGTCGCGTCGATATTGATGCGAGAAGGCACCCAGATAGGCCACACAGGCGGCGGCCACTAGGACATCGCCAGGGACGCATGCCAAATCGCCGGTTAGCGACTTGACCGTCTCACGCCAGCGTACCTGCTCGTCGGCCAGGGCGGAGGTGAGTCGCCCGGCCCGATCGATCCGGCCATAGGTGAGATCCACATTATCCTGAATCACCTGGAACTCGCGCTGCTTCTCCTCCAAGCTATCGCGCAGCGCCTGGATCTTGGCCTCGACGGCGGCCAGCTCCTTTTGCTTCTGCCTCAGCACTGTCATCACTTCCTTGAGCTCCGCCTCGGCGGCCTCCTTGCGCTTGATCTTCGGCTCCACCACCTTGTACACCTTGGAGAACTTGTCCATGGCAATCACCCACATGCTCACCGACTTGGCCACCTTGGAGACTTTCTCGAATTTCTGGGAAGAGAAAAGGAGGAGGGGTGTAAGCTTTCCAGAGGTTTGATACCAAAGCAACCACTTACCGCCGGCACAAAATCCTTGTGATCGATGTATTTCTTCACCTTCTTTAGCGTCTCCTCCTTCATGTGCTCCTTGTCGTACTCGAAAAGCCTCTTGATGAAGTTAATGTCCGCCATTATGGCCTTGGCGGAGGCCCAAGTGGGTCTAAAGGCAGGAGAATCAATGGAATGGATTTTATTTTTTGTGGTTTAGAGACTCACTTGGCGCCCAGGAGTATGCACACGGCCTCCATGCAAAACTGTACCAAGGCCGGTGGCGTGGTAAAGGACTTCAGTTCATTGATATCCGCCTTGGTCAGACCCTTAAGGGCATCCTCGGCCTCACGCAGGGCGGGCATGGCTATCTCCAGATCCTTGCTGGCATCCTCGGAAATGGCCTGGGCCACCGCTGCCTTTTCCTTGGCATTTGTCTCATCCTCGAGCACACTTTGCTTTACAGCATCGGCCTGCTTAGTCTCCTTGGTCAGGTTGTCCACCAGGGACTTCATCATGGCCGACTTCTCATCCAACTGGGGCACCATCACCTCCAGTTCCTTTTGCATGACCGCAATCTAGGGGGAACAAATAATACATAACCGAAGTCCCTCTTCCTCCTCAGACTTCGCTGTGTACTCACCACTTCATTGGTCTCCAGCAACTTGTTCAGGCCATTCGCAATCCGCTTCCTCTTCGCTATGATCTCCTGGTTCTTCAGCTTGAGAAGATTCTGATAGAGTTTCAGCAGTTCCAGGTAGCTACTGGGCGTGGTATAGTAGTGTCTCTTCATCTCCTTGTAGAATCGCACCGAGGCATCCTCCACTGTCTGTGAAATTCATCCTTTTCGATTAGCAATTTCTCTCGGGGATTCGGTGTGTGCTCCTTCCCAAACTCACCTTGTGTATGAAGACCGTTGTGCTGGCCAGCGAGACGCGATCCTCCATTTTGGGGGCAATCTTCGTGAGCAGCCCCAGGGCCACCGAGTAGAGGGCTTCTGTGGGCCAGCTGGTGAACCAATCGATGGTGGTGCAGTTGACCAGCGAGGGGAACATGCGGCATCGCCGCCGGAAGGCATCGCCCACCGGACTCATAGACATCACCACGTGCAGATTATTACGCACTCGGTTGATGAAGAACTTGTAGATCTCATCGCGCTGGCACGGCTCATCTTTTCTGGCCTCATTGCAGGAATCCCGGGCATCCAGTAAGACCTTTTCGTACTCATCGCCTTCGAATAGATTGGGCACTTCGCCGGAGTTGAGGATGTTGTTGATGTCCTCGAGGAACTCCTCCTCCACAATCTGGCTGTCGATCATCAGGAATGTCACCGGCTGGTTATCAATCTGTTCGAAGAGGAATAACAAGAGGTAAAAATTAGGAGTGAAAAACCTTCAAGAAACTTTTAAGAAACCTTTAGGAAACCTCAAAGAAAACTCAAAGAAATCTCAAAATAAACCTCCAAGAAAATATCCTTAAAGAAACCTAAAAGAATCTTTAAAGGTACCTTACAGAAACCTCCAAGAAACCCCCTAAGATAACCTCCTAGAAATCACAAATCTCTCTCTAGAAACCTCAAATAACCCCACCAATTCCACCCTCGAAACCCAGAAGACTTACGCCTGCGATGCGGTAAAGAACCCGCAGATCTTCGTGGAAGGCATTGAGGTCGTAGTTGCGCCGCATCTCGATCTGCCAGCAGTTGTACTCGTTGACGTGGGATGCCAGCCGGGTGAGCGACTGCTTACCCATGCCGGCGACGCCGACAAGGAGTCCATTGCCCCGGTCGCTGCGCAGGAGGCGGGCCAGGCGTACAGTGTGCTCCATGGCGTCCTGGAAGAGGATTAGCTTCATGGACTTGGCACCGCCCATCGAGTTGAAGTCCACAATGTAATCGTTGAGCACGCTCTCCAGCTTGTTGTGGTCCTTGATCTCCTCGTAGATTCGCTCCTCTTTAGGCTTGCCAAAGACCATGAAGTCACCAAACAGGATGGGCGGCTCATCGTTGCGGACCACTTCGCGATTGAAGTGATCCTGGCAGACGGAGTTCATCAGCGATTTGAACAGGTTCTTGTCATCTTGATTAATCAAACGATCGTGGAAGACGCGTGTGGTCTCGTGGTAGAAGAGTCGCAGGATCTGCTGCTCCTGATTGTAGTGAAGATTGCTGGCCTGCAGAATCCCCTGGATGCACTTGGACAGATCGCGCAGATTGAAGATATAGTGGGAGCGGTCCGGCGTGGGCAGCATCACATTGGCCACCCGCATGTAGACGTCCACACAAGCCTTCACCATGTTCTCCGACAGGTTGCGGATGGTGCTGGAGAAGGTCTGCAGGAAGCCGCGCAGGATGCCATTAAAGATCTGGGTGAGGGTCTCCTCGTTGGGCTTTGGCAGCGAGAACAAAGCAAAGTGCCGGACGAAGCGCGGGGTCAGCGGATTCCGACCACCACCGGGCGGGGCACAGGCGCAGCCCAGCACCACGTCCAGGATCTCCTTCCAGTAGAGTTTCTCCCGGTCGTAGAAGCCCTTGAAGTCCAGAAACTGACGCAGCAGCTCAATGGCCGGCTGGGCACCATAAGTGTCCAGTTTGGGCATATTCACGTCGTCGATGAACACAATGACCGTCTTGCCCACAGGAGCGCCCAGTTGGGTGCGCTTGCGCTTCTCCAGCGGCCCCTCGATCATCTCCTGGGTGCGCACACTGCTCGTCTGGGCGGAGAAATTAAGGATCACGGGTATGACTTTGCCCTCGGACAGACGCTTCATGCAGCTGATGGCCAGCACTGTCTTGCCCACGCCAGTCTCCCCGGTGACCATCACAGGCATGCTCTTGCTGAAGAGCAGATCAGCCACATAACTGGGGGAACGGTAGGTATAGCATGGAGAGATCTTGATATCTGGAAGATTGCATCCACTCACCCGTATTTGGTAGTGTCCACCGTGGGCACCAGCATATCGTAGTAGGATATGTCCTCATTAAAGACAAACTCGGCCATGATCTCGTTCCAGGATTCCCAGTCCATGGTCTCCAGATTGACCCGATAGTTCCACATTGATTGCTTGGGCAGCCTGTTGTTGTATATATATATAGGATATATGGGATATTTAGGATATATAGATACAATCTGGAACACCTACATCATATTGGGATGCTGGCCAATGGCCCTGCTCCACTGCTCCTCGAACGACACCTTCTCCGCATCCTTGAGGTTCGAGGCAATAGCCCAAAGCACTGTCCATGCAAAGATCTTGATTAGCAGCTCCTTGGCCGGCTCTGCCCCTATAGCTGACCACTTGATGGCCTCCAGTTGCGACATGGTAAGTGTGCAGCACAGAGCCACCTTGGAGCCTAGAACCTGATTGATGGTATACACCGCCCGCTTCCGCTCGATCTTCAAAGCCTTGTCAAAGTAGCCAACGAAGAGCTGGTAGAGGAACTCGGCCAGGGGCGCGGGCAGCAGGTGCTCCATGTTTACCTCACGCCAGGTATCGACCAGCGGCAGCCAGCCAAGATCCCCCGGATCCACGTATACCATGCCGCAGCGGGAGACGGTGGCCGGTGAGGCCTGCAGCAGGTCCTGCACCTCGAAGAGCATGTGAATCCAGGCGGTCAGCTTGATGCGCTCCGAGTTGGCCAGGCACAGCATCTTGTTGTCGTCCAGGACAGTGTTTAGATTCTCAATCCAGACGGCGTCCACGGGTCCATCGCACATGATCCACTGGTGGATTTCGTCTGGAAAGCAAGGTTATAAGGTTACCTATGGACTTGGGACTTGGAACTTGGCCTTGAACTTACCTTCCACTGTGGTGGCCGTTCGAACCGCCAGTCCCAGCAGGCCATCCTGCCACTCCAGGGTCTTGGGATCCACATAGCCGTATAGCTCGTTCATGGACACCGCCTTGGGGTTCATTGTCTGGATGACCACTGGCCGGAAGTTGGGATCCTGGACCTCGTTCTCAAACAGATGCGACAGGGCAAACTCCAAGGCATGCAGGACAACGGACTTGCCGCCGCCGGTGGGACCCACCAGCATGACGCCCCAACGGACGCACATCGTCTCGTAGAGCTGCAGGCACTTCCTTAAAGTTGTTGCCACCGGCTGTAGGTTTTTGTTTCGAAGTCCCAAATGGAGACTGGCCTCCAGATCTGGATGCTGCGAGTCCGGCAGCTCGACGCCCGGAAACAGGTCACTGAGTATGCCCCGGAAGAGGACGGCATCATCGGCCAAGAACTTGGGTATATTTGAGTCCCGCAAGGCGGCAATCAAAGTGATGTCCTCACGCTGATTGGGCGAGGCACGCTTCAGGGCTCCGGCCATTACCAGGACGGATTTTACGGCTCGCATACCGAAGTCATAGTGGTTCTGCTGGCTCAGCTGCTGGCTGCATAGCTGATACATTTGCACCATCTTCCGGGCCAGGATCTTGGGATCCTCGAAGCCCTCCGAGTACAGGATGACCTCTGAAATGAGAGCATAATCTGGAACCATCATGGAGATGGGCCGGAAGAGGGCCTTCAGGTTATCCGGCAGCTCTGTGCGGCCGGCATAGCCAGGATTCATTGTAATGAAAACACAGCAGGAGCGATTGATCTTGATCTCGCGACCCTCGAAAATGAAGCTAAGTTAAAGGATGAGAATCAGGATTATGGAGGAATCATTGTTACTAAAGCTAAAGCCTACCGCTTAACTTTCATTGCCTTGGCCGTTCGAATGGTGATCAGCTGCTGGGCTATCACGGACAGCACCTCGATATCAATGCGGTTGAACTCGTCGAAGCAGCACCAGGCGCCGCACTGGGCCAGGCCCGAGAAAAAGCGACCCATCATCTTGTAGTCGAGGCCATCGGAGCAGTTGAAGACGACACACTGCTTGGCCAGGGCCTTGGCCAGATCCTTGGTGGTCTCTGTTTTGCCAGTACCGGCGGGGCCAGCCGGTGCTCCGCCCAGGTCCATCTGAAAGGCGCCCATCAAGCAGAGGTAGCAGCGATCCGTTAGGGGAGTCAGCACCAGGACACCACCAGCGCCCAGGTATTCGTAATAGTAGGGAATATTGGCGGCTGCCATGCGGGTGTAGACGGTCTCTGTTTCATCTGCCCAATAAAAACGCAGCATCTTCAGCCAGTTGAAGTCGTTGCTAACAAATTCAAATAATTTGAAGTAATTTCAAGTAATTTAAAGTAATTTCAAGTAATTTAATTTATTTTATATATACTTACGGCTTGGTCACTTGCTTTTCCACAAGCATCCTCACCGAGTCCTTGGCATGGACATCGATGGTGATGAGGGCGCAAAGTATCTTGCGCAGTAGCGAGGTTATATTCTTACGCGTCAAGGCCGCCAGGGCACCCAAATCCTTGAGGCATTTGATCTCAAACTTGGACATCTTTTCCAGTATGTTGAGCGGATTACGCTCTTTGCCCTCGTAAATGCGATGTATGTCGGCGGCCCATTGCACCTGAGAAACGGTGAGTACCACTTGATTGGGATGATCCTGGAACCAGTCCTCGCGCTCCTTGGCCGGATAGCATTGATAGCCGAAGCGCATGTAACGCTTCACCGACACAAACATCGCCTCCTCCACCTTGTTCAGCCACTCCTCCACGGCACCGCTGGCCTTGAGGCCCTTGCCAAATTGTAGCTTTTCGCCCTCGGGCGAGAGGAAGGCAATGATATCATTGGTGGCCACATTCTTGCCATCGCCGCCCTCCTTGGAGCCGAATTCCAAACGATAAATGGCATCGAAGCATTTGCGCAGATGCGGCTGCACTGCCTGGGGGATGCGGGTCTGGGCCAGGATCTCCAGCAGCTCGTCATTGGACAGGAAGTAGAATCTGTGGTTTAAGAGGTGACAAAGGTATTCCCTTTCCTCCTTCGCTTTTCTTTTACCTGGGAAACACCACACGCTTCACCTCCAGATACGCCTCCAGGCCGCGTGAAATGAGGTCCAGCAGACGATTATTTTCCACCAGCGTCTGATAAACCTCCACACTGGACATGGTGGGCAAAGCCAGGGTAACCTTTTTGGCCTGGCGCACCAGCTCCTTGAAGCTCTTGTCCACCGCAAAAAACATCTTGGCCTCCTGGGGCAGCTGGCGCTGAATGTCAGCCGAGGCGAAGATGGCCTCCAGGTAAATCCAAGCGCCCTGGCAGTCCATCCAGCTTTCTGGTTATGGATTTTTCTGAGATTAGTGTGTCCTTCCGAGTCCTTGCATACCCACCGAACGTCTTGGCAAACTGATCCATCGCATTGATCCACTCATCCACCTTGCTCTTGATGGGACCCACAAACTTGGAGGCGGCAATGGTGTTGATATTCACATTGGAGTCGTCTAGAACGGCCTGCAGCTCCTCGGTGCCCGCCAGGATGAAGACGTCCTTTTGGTCGTGATGCGGCACAATGAACAGATCCGTCTCCTTCCAAATGGTCTCGATGCTCTTTAGCATATTCTCCAGTTGCACCTCGCCGGTGGCCTGGGAGGAGATTTGCATCAGGGCCTCGCCGAGATTAACATCGTCGAAGGCGTGCACATCCTCGTACGTCTGGATAATGATGTCCTTCTCCTGGAAGAACTTGTGGTTCAGCAAGTCCTCAATCTCTGCCCAGTGACGCTGTGGTTAAAGTTATGAATTTAAACTGAGAAAGAAAATGCTAGAGTTCTGGGATGACGCACGGCTCTTAGGTTGGGATTCCGTAGATATCCAATCACCGGGAGCTTCTCCTTGAAGGCCTCCGCGGATGCCTGGAGCACGGGCACAATGTTATTCTGCGGCAAATACTTCTGGAACTGAAGGCAGTTCTTGATGGTCTTCGAATTCAGCTCGATGATGTCCGCCACCACCAGTGTGTTGAAATCGGCGGCTATCCACTCGGCCAGCGACTCCTCCCACTCGGTCCATGTACGGTACAGGTTCTGGCGCATCCGTATGTCATAGAAGCCGCTGGCCATCTCCTCGTACATGGTCAGATCGATCTGGAATTCCTTTTGGTAGCCAAGGAACTCGTCGGCGCGCTCTCGGCATGCGGTCAGGTGCTCCAGCAATTCGTCCAGTTTAGTGACCACGGCCTGCCGGTTGGATTTGGCCTGACAGAAAATATTAAGTCATAAAATATTGGAATTACTAATTAATTAATTAATTAATTAAATTTAATGGAAGAAAATCCATTCCATTCCATATTCAACAATTATTCAGCAACAATGACTGATTATACTCACATCTAGCAGCCACGGCTCCACCGCCTCGATGGCCACCTCGTGGATCTCCTCCATGAGCGCCTCTATGTCATCCTGCATGGCTTCCTCGAGCCGATTGATAAAGTCCTGGCGCTTCTCCTTGATCTCAGCCAGCGTCTCACGCGTACGATTCAGATAGTCCTCCGTGTCCATATAGTCCTCCTTGGACTCATCGTCAATGGGTATGCCAAAGTCCTTGATGATCAACAGCAGATCGTGCACGTAGTCGATGCCGCCAAATAGCTCATCCAGCTCGTTGGAGCACGTGTCCAGAAATCGAATGTGGGCCACTATATCGAGGGTCTCTTGTGGTTCATAGCAGATTCTGCCGTAAAAGTCCTGCGCCCCCTCGTATATCCGTACCGTCTCCTCCTCGGCCAGCTTCACCAGATAGGTGGCCAGGATGTTTTGCAGACGCGAACAGACTGGCGTCACTGTGTCCTTGAAATTCGTCTGGGTGAGCTTGAGCAGTCCGAGGTACACAAAGTCCAGGATCCCGTCCAAGGCTCGCACATTGTTACAGTACCGATCACAGTAGGCCCGCAGGGTCACGAGATCTGGAAGCAAGACGATCAAATTGTGGCAGGTTCCAGTCTGGAGCTTCCGGAAATACCTCTCTCCGTGTTTAGGACCGTGGGATCCGTGCTATTGTCTATCTCATAGTTCTCGCGAATGGTCTGGAACCTCATGGTATAGAGACGAGCTCGGTCAAAGGCCTTGCGGATCAGCACAAACATGTTTTTGCTAATTATTTAAATTGAAATATAGTTAATATAGAATGAAGAATCCTTTAAAAATTGCTTAGCAATGCAATTTTTACAGGGGATTTTCCCCAGAATAAAAAAAAAAAGATTTTCCCTCATAAAATTATAACAATTATTCAACAATCATTCAACAATCCTGCAATAATCATTCAATAATCATTCAACAATTCATTTTTTAAGGAATTTTTCCCTAGTACCTAAATAAATGAAAATAGCTTTTCAAACTGGAAAACTTGTTCGTGTATGTCAGTGTCTAAAAAATGGGCAACTATAATTCCTACCGATTATACTGAAAACCTGGATCGGAGCGGAGCAAGTAATGCAAATCAGGAGCTCCATCGAAAAGCACCTCCTCCTGACGTCCCATAATCGAAGGCCTTAAAAAAATTAAATAACTTTAAAGTGAAAAACAAAAATTGCACATAAAAACCTACTTTGTATACTGCGTGAAAAAGGGATCCGTGGTAAAGGGATGGATCTCGAGCACCGTTTCGAGTATTAGCCCTGTGATGCGTTGAAAGATAATCCTGATCACTTCCTCTGAGGGCTCGACATCGATGCGATCCGGCAGCAGACGGAGCCTGGCCACGAAAAAGGGACTCTGGGGCTTGTCGGTCGGACGTGCCCTTTCGATCTTTCTGTCCATCCGCATTTGCTGGCTTATGTCCCCCTCGGAAGGGCCAAGCTCGTCGTGCACCTCGAAGGCATCCTCTAGATCCTGAAAGCTCCTAAGGGTGATGCGGTATAGCATCTGATAGACCATCATGTCGCTGTAGGTGAGAAAACTGTGCAGAATAAAATTGTATTAAAAAATAAAATAATAATAAATGCATAAAAAAATTCTAGTCAGTGTAGATAGAATCTCACTTGGTTAGCGTCTTGCAGAAGGCCCTCTTTCGGGCCCGGTCCATAAAGCTGTGCGCCTCGCGCATCTTTTTCATTGAGGGATAGTAGTTAACCTCGTCATCTGGGTAAAAGCCACGTGCTTGGATAGCGTCTGTGCAGGCACGAACTATAATAGATAACGGGGAAGGGAATATATTTAAAAAAGTTGCCCTAAAATCCAGAAAAAAAAAACATTTTTAAGTCTAGGAAGATTTTTCTAATATGTAGAACATATTACTTGATTTTTCCCTAAATATGGTTAAAATTAAATAAAAAACACACACACAAAAATTGAAATAAATAAAAATAGGAAATATACACAAAAATATTGTATTTATGGTGCCTAGCCTTAAATTTATTAAAACTTGTTCTTATTTGTAAAAAAAAAACTTTCCAAGTTCTAGGGTTCTTTTTTTAAGATCGTTGTTTTTTTTTAATATGAAGAAATATATTTTTTACAAATTTAAAAATTTAAAACTTAGATTTTAAGGTTCTTTTTTTAAGTGTTTTTTTTTTTTTTGGATTATTTACATTTCGTTGCGAAATATATGCTACTCACACAAGGTCTTGCCCGTAAACTCCCTAAATTCGGTGAAGATGCGATGCAGTTGCTCGTAAATCCGCATGTGCATCTCCAGGAAATAAAATGGATGCCAGTTCTCGATGTTGCTGGTATTCACAAAATTCAAACGCTCCATTTGGACAATGTCGCTGCGCATCCGTAGAATCGCCTTGGCCAGCTGCGGTATTACGATGAACAAATTGTTTTGAAGGTAATCACGAGCCTCATTCAATTTCCGCCACTTGATGGTCTTCTCCCAAACCTAAAATACTCGTATCTTTATATACATTCTTTTCGGAGTAGCGAAAGCCTTGGCCTACCTTGAAGCCCTTCCATAGACGAAAGATGGAGAAGAGACGAATCTGGATGATGCTGAGGAACTGCTGGAACTCCTGTTGCCACTGGTCGAGCGGCGTGAAAAAATTCTCGGAGCAATGCCAAAATGTGACACCATGCCTGGTCACCGTATAAAAGGGCTCGGCCATGTCCAGGTCCGCATACTCCACCAGCCGGAGGCTGTACGGCGTAAAGAGTTCGCTGTCGTGCGGCAGCATGTAGTCCATATAGACGAACGAGTCATCCTTCTTGGCGCGCATCCGGTTGATGACCAGATTCAGGTCCGGAATGAGCGAGGCACCGGTGGTGATCTTCGATGTGCTGGGATTTCGCGATTTGACACCGGTTGGCGAGGTCCCGCCCTTGGGATGAAAGCTCAGTCGTTGCTTATTGGATTGCTTCTGGTGCTTTCCGCGTTTCAGGTGTTTCCCAGGCTGACGATGGCCCGCACCGCGGACTCCTTTCGCGGGCACCGTAATGCTGCCCTCGTTGACGTCGCTGGCCCGGTCCGTGATTACTGTAGCATCGCTGCCTGCTCGGTCCATCGATGTGCGGCTTTGCCGTAGATCCGCATTAATAATTGGTCGGTCACCTCCTCCATCGCCACCGGCATCTCCAAGTCCAGTTTCGATTTCATGTCCGCTGCCCCCCGCCTGACGTGGCATCCTTCTCTTGCGGGACCGCTTCCGTCCGCCACTAGGTCCGTGTCTGTGTCCATGGCCATCTCTCTCCTGGTCACTATCCGCCTCCGGGCTGGACATTTCGGCGCTAGGGATTTCGGACTGTTAGATGGTATGTGGATATGTTTTGGATCGGTCACATGCCGACTGACAGCCTACTCGTTTCTCCGGTTTTGTTTGCTCGTCGCCATGTCTACTGTTGTCAGCCAAGTTTGTTTGTTAGCCTAGCAAGTAATCTTTAATTTTTCTTATTTGTTGTTGTTTTTTTTTAAATTTAAAATTATTATTATTATTATTTTATTGTAATAACAAATTAAATGTCTAATTACAACGCAATTTAAGCCAATGCGACTAAGGCCTTAAGGCTAATTTTTAAAATTAATAGCTAATAGCTAGAGCCAACCAGAATCTTTCCCTCTCTCTCGTCTAAAAAAATCCAATAGCAAATAAACCCGTAGAACTAAGCTACAAAACAGAGAGGGTACACTGTAACACAACAAGTAGTAGCTCTTTTATGAGAGAATACCCACTACCAAATAATAATAATAAAATAAAATAAAATAATAATAAAATAAAAGTGTAAAAATTCTCAAGAATAATTCTAAAAACTAATTTGAACGTAAAGAGTTTTGGTTTTTATGGTTTATTTAAATGAAGAGCTTAGAATACTTGCTATTATTAATTATTTTTATTTAATTAAACCTTATTATAGAAATATCTTTGGATTTCCCTATCGTTCTTAATTGGTTTTTAAATTAACGGCTCTGGAAGAGCTTTCTTGTTGGAATATTTTGGAAGTCCGAAACGCTGCTGCATTCCGCTGCGGACTGGCCCACTTTCTGCTTTCTGCAGGATATGGCCGCTGCCTAATCCTTTCGTTGCCGAAAGCTCATCCGGCATTTTTGTTGAAAGCCAATGGAAAGGCGGAAATGTGGAAAGCCAACGCTTTGCTGACCTTCAAAGCTCCAGCGCGCGCAATCAAGCTTTTATTTTCGATTTCGAAAAATGGGGGGTGGGCAAGGGAAAAGCAAGGGGTAATCAGAGGGAAAGCGTAGGAAGAAGCAAGGGAAAAGCAAAGGAAAAGCGGTGGAAAAGCTCAAGGTGAAAGCATCTCTATCTCTGTGGCAGCGACGCCAGCCGCGACAGAGGCTGCAGTCGGTTTTGGCTTTCGGTTTTTTCATCGGTTTCTCGCCTGTCTTTTTGCGTTTCGGAAAGCGTTTCGGACTCGGGGGATACACGGATTCGGATTCGGTTTCGGTTTCGGACTCGGATCGGACTCGGAACACGCTGCAGACGCGTCTGGGTTCCGCACAGTTGGTCTCCAGCGCCTAGTCGTTGGGTATACGGCGCGATGTGCAGAGCCGCGACACGCGACGACACGCAGCATTCAGCAGTAGCCGCAGTAGCCGCAGCAGCAGTAGCAGGAAACGCAGCAGCAGCCGCAGCAGCAGCAGTAGCCGCAGTAGCTGCAGCAGCAGCAGCAGCAGTAGTTGCCGCACCGAAGACCGCCACGAACCGCTGTTTTTTTTTATTTTCAAATAAAAATCCGTGTTGGTAATAATTTCCGCCGTAGCTTCGAAAAAAAAAAATATACCGTTATTCCGCATAATAACAACCGCCGCAGACTCCGCTCCGTTCGCAGATTTTTTCTTTTTTTTTGTTAAATTTTTTTTCTAGTGCGCGCGACGCCTTAAAAAAAATTACAAAAATTAGAAACAACTAACAAAAAAATGGGAAAACACAAGATGTCCCTTTGAGGTAGGTACTTCCCCCGCACACAAATCCATTTTGGCGGATCGCTTTTTAATATCTAAAATTAATCTTACTTGTTGTCCCAGTGCTGTTTTTTATTTTTTTTTTTTTTTTTTTTTTTTTATTAATATTTAAAGAGCCATAAAACTGTAGTGACGTAAATACAAAAACTCAAAATCGAAAAAAAAGAAAGAAAGAGAGAGCGAACACGAAAGATCTATCTCGCGTCGCGTCGCATCGTTAAAACGATTTTCATTTTCATTTTTCATATTCATAACATTGCACACCCAGGGTCCCGATGATACCGTAATACCGATATTTTGATATTTTCGTAGAATAATTATGGGCCTTAATGGTTTTCACATGGCAATTCCGTAGAGCGGAATTTGCAGTTTTGCGATCTGAAGAAGATGCAAGGAACATCTTTGATTTTCTTTTTTTTTTTTTTTTTTTGCGCACTGCCATTGGAAATGTCCTTGAACATTTTCACCGCCGCTGCCCCCATGTGTGTGAGTGAGTATTCCTGGCCAACACTGAGTGAGTGTGTGTCAAGAGGGGCTGCTTTTCCCTAATAGCCGCGCCATACAAATGTTAAATGAAAGCCACCCAAAAGAAAAAAAAAACCTACTAAAAAGAAAATCAACATTAGGAAAAGGCTTAAGAGAGCAAAAAGCCAAGTTTGTGAAATTTTCAGCCAGGAAATGGAGTTGAGAGAAAAAAGAAAACTTCACCACCATGCAATTTTTGGTTGGGAAGCTGCAGTGATGCCTTTAAAATCCACCTTCATGTTCTACTCCCAGCTATACGAAGTGGGGCTTGAGCTAATTAATAATCTTCATGTATGTACTAAATTGTTATGTAGTGAATTTCTTTATTAATTTGGGTTCATCTTTAAGTTATTCTCATAATTTTGGCTTGCCTTTAAAGTTTCTTAAATTTTAATTTAATTTTTCCGCAAAGAAAACATTTTTAATTGCATATTTTGAATCTTGATTTAACTAAATAACTCTATTGTTAAAGTTGCTAAAGTGAAGTAAATTCTATTACTACCACACTTTTATTAAAATTCAAAAGAAAACTGAGTTAGGATTTAACTAAAATAGTTGTAAAATATGCAAGTAATAATTTTTATTTAGCAGAAAATATTTATTAGTCCAGGATAGGAAAATAAAATTGAAGAAACTAGTAAAATAAGTAAATTGAAAGGCAAAAAACTATTGTAAAAGTTAACAAGTATTTAAAATCTACCCTTTTGCGACTTTAATCTGCTGCTAGAACCCTTTGGGAATTTTAGAGCAATTCTAGAAGATGGCAAAGTGGCTTATTTTTATAAATTATTGCTGCAAATATACATACTTTAGTAAAATATATTAAAAAAAAATTTAAGCAGTTTCTTAAGATTTAATCAATTAATTTTACTTAATTCATTTAATTAATTTAACTCAATTAAAAATAAGTATTTGGATACGTTTTTTGGCACATGCCTTGTTAATTTTCCATTTATTTCTGCCAGGACAGACAGGAAAATTACCCAGAAATAAAAGTAACCATTTTTAAATTTTGGATTTTAGAATTGTAGAATATTTCGCTCACTGTATTTGGGAACTTTGTGCCATTAGCGAAGCGAAACGAACTGAAATGAAATGAAATAAAATCTACAAAAGACAAAGTCAAGTCGCGGAGAGCACAGGAATTCACTTAAATTGCGAAGAATGCGAATTTGGTTAAAGACCTGAGAAGTGGAGAGAAGGGGGAGAGAGAGGGTAGAAGAGTGGAAGATAGGTAGAAGGAGGGCTAGAGCTAAGAAAAAGCGGAGTCCCCCTCTGCCGTCTCGTTGAATGTGCAAAATTTTGCACTTCACCGTCAGCAGTGGAGCCCAAAAGGGGGGCTCTCTTTACCACCCACACCTCTCCCACGTGAGGTGAGGAGGCTGGCGGAAAAGGGGGGTGCGCTCAAGGTGGTGGCGGTGGTGGGGTGCTGACAACATCCCAGGGCTTCGAGGGAACAAGGCGAATTCTTTATCAAAATGTATGACAAGTTTAAAAAGCCTTGCGGAGAACATCAACAAAATGAGTTTGGATGGCAAAAAAAAAAAAAAAGAAAAACCATGACGAAAAAAAGAAAACGTGGGCCAATATGGGTAAAGGATACGGGATAAAGGATAAAGTAATAAAACGCAGAGAGCAGAAGCTAAGCCAGGTACCTGCTTTTCTCTGGCTAGAACCAAATAAATCAGCCCAAGAATCCCTGTATATATACATATATATATATATATATATATATATATAAATATATATGTGTATGTGTATGCCCGTGCATAAAGTCATGTCTTGAAAATTCACAGAAAAGTTCCTGAGATTCCGCCACACAATATTTTCTTTAGATCTTTTGGGTCCCAGCAGAAAAATAAGTAAATATATAAAAAAATATGTTAAGCATTCTGCGGAAACCAAATCTGTGGAACTTTAATGAAAAGTGTCAAGTTTTTGGTTTTAAATTTTTGGAATATAAAGTATAAAAGGCACAAAGTATAAAAGGCAAAACTCTTTTCGATTTAAAATTATAGCATTTTTGGATTAGTTATGATAGATTTCAATTGTATATAAAAGCTTTGACTTGACAAACTTGGCTTTCTTTCTTGTTTTTAATCAAATATTAAGGGATAGATTTTCTGATCAGTTTAATTTATTTAACTTACCTTTTTCCAAGCTAATCACCTTTCTGTGGCTACTTAAAATGGGAAATTGCTCTTGATTAATGCTACCAGCTACCAGTTCCAATCCCCAATTCCCAATACCCGGGCAAACACTCCATCCATCAGCTGCTCTCACATGCACACACACAGACCATGGCCATAATTTGTTGCAAATTTATTGAAAAGCCATAAAAAGAATTTCCGTTTCCCTCTTTGCTTTCCGCTTTTCCACGATTTTGCAGGCAGAAAGGAGCTGGCGCCGCAGGATACGCAGTCCGCAATCCGTAATCCGCAATCCGAAATTCCCGCGTCAAATGAGCTGGAAGTGTCCAAATGGATGGGCCATCAAGGAAACAACGCTGGCAAATAAGCCAAATTAACGAGATACCGGCTATAAGGAGGCTGAACAAAATGTCCTGAAAGCAAAGAGAGCCATTCAAATCGATCCAAGTAATCGGCAAATAATCGAATAATCGCGAGTATCGTATTCCGTTTCGCGAGTGCCTACACTTCCGTTTCCGCCGCGAAAGTGCGCGCGCGTGTGCATGTGTGTTCTGATTAGATATATATACACACATATATATATGTATATATCTTAATATATCAATCATTATATAAATATATTTTTGTTTGTTTTTTTTCGCCAAACCCTCAACCTTATCCCCCACCTCCGCCCCAAAGATATTACTGATGAATAGATGAAAGAAAGAGGAAAAAGAAGTGAAAAAAAAAAAATGAAAATGGGCCTTAAAGTCGGATAAATGAATGCAGAGTGTCTCAGTCGAGGGCCGTTGCAGAAGTTCTCGCTTTCCCCCCTCGCCTGTCTTTCGCTCTCAACTACTACGGATATTCAAACAGTTCTAACTGCAAACTATTATCAATAAAATAACTAAACAAAATAAATACCAACTCGGCTAAAAATCGCAAGTGGCGCAGCCAGGTGAGTTACATTTTCCAAGATACATTTTACCAAGATAACTTTATAATGTAAACTTTATATATATGTACATATATCTTTAAAACATCCCCCGTTATCGTTATGTACACTTCATTAGCCCGGTCCTCTTGAATAACACTGGACTACTTAGTCCTGTGTTGGTAATATTAACGGTCCTTTTAGCCTAAAAACCAATTGATTGAAAGACTTTTCGACTTTAAACTGATATCAATCTCTGAAATATTTTATGTTTTAATTGTTGAATAGAAACTTTCTTTCAAGGTTTTAAGACAATTTTAAGAGAAATATTTTCCAAAACGTTCGCTAGTCCTTTAAACTTGTACAACTTTCAGGGATATTTTTGTTTTTTCCTGTGCTCTCCCAAAAATAATTTTCGGATTCCCTTTGGCGTCCCTTCCTCTTCTGTGACACATAATTGCGAAAAATAATTCAATTTTCTTGCATTTTATGAGAGCCAAAAGCAAATCATTGACAATAATCAGGGGGAGGGAGGCGGTACAGGATAGTACCGAAAGCAACGGATTCCACCCCCGAGGATATGCCTTTCTATTTGTATCTTTTTTTTGTTTCTCCTTTTTTTTTTTTGGCTGGTGGAAGCAACAGCCTCCGCTGGCTCGTAAATGTGAATGATGCTGCTGATGACCGGGCGGGGACTGCGTCGTAGTGGGTGGTGGTTGGTTTGGTCCTGCCGGCTCCGACTCCTGATCCCGTTTCAGGGAAGCCTCCGTGGCCGAGCTAAAGTGCTCATAAACATTTTGTGTCCAGTTTAGACTCTGTCTGTGCGCTCCTGGCTCTCCAAAAAGGACAGCAACTTGCATATTTCATTCAATTGAGAGAAAAAGGGATATATTTTACAATTAATATATTTAATTATATTTTTTATATTTATATATTTAATATTATAATAACAAATTTGCCTTCGTTTCAACTTAAAAAAAAAAAAAAAAATTTTTAAAACGGCTAATGGATTTTTGATTAAAAATACTTAAAAATACATTTTAATTTGCATTTAATTTGAACTCTTAAGGAAAATATAATAAAACGGATGCCAAGGGCTTAAAATTAATTCAAAAACCTTCTTAGAAAATTACAAAGGCCAATAATTCAAATGAAATATTGTATTGCTTTTTTAAACCCTTTCCAAAATGAAATCTTTGGCATATCAGTCTGTCAGGACTTCCAATAAATTCTACGGAATTTCAGCTATTATACTTTTATTTTTTTCGGTGCACTCCAGTCCCATAGTTTACGGCCATCGCTTTGTGTGTAAATATTTTTAGGGCGCCTGTGCCTATTTTTTCTCGCGAAGAAACCAAAAATTCCAACAGCAGCTTTGGACATGTTTGCAGGCATAAAAAATTTAAAAAAAAGATAAACTGAAACTTGGAAAAAGAATTTTGCGCAAACAAAAGAAACCGAGAAAAATATGTGTTTGCTCCCAGAACATCCCAAGGTCGTCCCACTGCCCCCTACTCCCTTTTGGTGGTCCTGGTTCCAGCTTCCTTTTGCGCACTTCCTTTATATTATTATTCGCTGTTGCTTTGCGCGTGCCATTCGTTTTGCAAAATTGCTGTATTTAATTTGGCCAGCTTCTTGTATCTTCCTCCTTCTCCAACCCCCCTACAATACACACACACACACACACACCTCTCTAAACACGAGCCAAAGGACGACGAAGAGCTGGAGAAGAGAGTCCTTTTTGCGCAATTTTACGACTCACCAGAGGCATCCTGCTCCACTGCTCCGACTACCCATTCCTCTTCAGATGTGCACACAACGAATTTTTTAATTAATAATATTAAAATAATTTTAAAAATATTTTATAAAAAGACCAAGTTATTGGGGTACTGAAAATTATTGAAAATTTTCAATTGACTTTAAGTTTAATGATATTTTTCCTAATATCACAAAAAAAATCGGTCTTTAAGGTTTCATTTATTTCTCTAAGTGTAGGCTTGTGATATTCTTATTGTTGCTTGTTTTTCCATTTTTCGGTTGTTATTTCCTCTTTCTTTCTCACTCTCTGGCTTTTATTTTTGTTTGTTTTTATTTTTATTATTTTTATATGCTCCAACTTCCGTTGAAAGGCGGCAGCTGCTGTCCAGAGTTGCTTTTGAGCCGCATAACGGTATCTCAGTCTGCGGCTTTGTAGGCACTGATTTATCGATAGAAAGCTATCGATCGGCGGGTCGATGTATTTGTTATGACCCTTAAAAGGTCCTGCGTGTGCAGCCATCGGCTTGGGCCATGCCTCGGCTAGCTCCCCCTCAGGCATGGGTTCTTGGCCCGGCCCACTTACACACGTAACAGATAAATTTTTTTTTTTTTTTTTTTTTTTAAACATCCCGCCATAGACGAGACGTTACACAGCACTAATACTTGCACAACTTCGAACTGAACGAAACATTCACCTAAACGACACATACATACTCAGAAACGATCAGTCATCTGGGAGACTCCTGGATGTCCTTTGGAGCTCCCCTGCCTTTCCCTCCCATCCTTTGCAGGCTGCTGGCAGGAACTGTTTATGCAGCTGCCCCTATTTCAAAATTAACGCACCTTCAATCACCTCACGCCATAGTTCTCTTCCTCCTCCCCAAAAAGAAAAAGGACTACTTTATGCTCCTTTTACCCATAAATTTTAATAAAAATCATAACTTTTTCAGAATTACAAGTGTTGGTTTTTATATGTATGTTGCCCTTGTCTAACTCTTCTTTTTGTTTTTCCAAAATTTAAACAATCACAAGTAACCATATACTGCAACAAGCGAATTCCTTGGCCTACCCGTTTGAGCGCTCAAAAAGGGGGGTGAAGAATATTCCGAAAGCGAAGTCGATACTCGAACCAAGAAATCAACACAAAAACAAAAGCTAGGCAAACACAAATAAAATTATCAATAATAAATAACGAAAATGAATACATATAAATAAATAGATAAATAAATAAATAATTAAAAAAAAATAATAACAATAAATAAACAAATAATGGGATTATTCTGAATAACTAAATAAATATATAAAACAATGCCATAAATAATTAAAAAAAAACTAAACGACCACTAACTCTAAACAAAAAAAAAACTCTTATTGAAGCCTTGGGGTGGCTCCCGTTGCCGCCCCTTTGTAGGCGTGTCGGTCCTCAAGTAGGCGGTACTGTGCCGGCGAGGTTACGACCACAGTCGCGGGACAAAATATGGGCACACGTGCTGTTTGGATGGCCAGCCAAGACCAACGGGACCAATACGGAAACTCGACCATTTAGCTCAGTCCAAAAAAAATATATCCTGCGGCGCCAAAAAATTTGCGCGGACATAAAACAATTGCCGCGCCGGCACCAAAACTTATACGGCCACAAAAGAAGGTATTGTACGCCAATAAAAACAAAAAAAATAGGCGGAAGAAAAAAAATTTCGCCAGGCCCGGATCCTGGCCTGGCGTTCCTCCTTTGGAACCTGGTCCTGGTCGGCTTCTATATTTAAGAACACAATATTTATATTCTCCTATCTGCCTGCCTGGTCCCTGACCACTCACCTCTATGGTTCGCCGATCCAGCTTCCCAGGTCCTTATCTTCCTGCTGTCTCACATTTTGCCTTTTCTTTTTGCTATCTTCACTTCATTTTCTTAAAACAATATTTTGGCGGTCGATTATATATTAATTTTCGGTTTTACACACCAACCCGACGGGCAGCCGTCGTCGCACCACGGTCTCGCGCTCGAAGTTTCCGTTTCGCTCAAACCTAACGGAGGCAGTGAAGATCAAAACCCACGCCATTCGAACTCCGTTAGGTTTTCTATTCCTCTTTATCGGGTTAATAACCCCTTTTCGACTCTGGCCAAGTTGGCAGCCCTACAACCTGTGCTGCCCATGCCCAACCTATCGATATTCGATACGGCGGACACAACATATTCTTAACGGTCTATTAAGATGGAAACCAGGGAATCACTGTCATATTTGACTTGATTTTATGGTTTTCTGTATAAATATCAATTACGTTGTGTGAATATATATATATTAAGTCTTTTTATATAAATAAAATATTACAATTTTGGAGTTAACTCATGCTTAGCTAATTACCTTAACCTATGCAAGAGTCCTTCTTATTAACCCTGAAACTTGAATCTGGTCTCACTAATCTGCTTAACACGGCAAATGGCAGCACTGGTGCTGGCTTAATAGTGCGCCTGGCCACACTGTGACCAAGACTGTCATTCATTAAGTGAAGTGAGAGTTCACTTTTGGTCATATTGTTTTGTTGTAAATCTGCTTGCGTGTCTATAAAACTGATTCGCCTGTTGCTGCGTCATTCGCGTTGATGCTTTTTCGGTGCTTTTTCGCTTTTTTCGGCTTCTCGCTGCTGCTCGTCTTTCCAAAAATAAAGTGCGTTTTGGGAGCAGCAGTGCGACACAAACGCTACTGCCCGCCAAGACTTCTAAATTTATGTAAGTTTTATTTTCGTTTTATGGCCGTTGTAGCACTGCTGTTGTTGCATTTCGCATGTGCGCTGCTCTGTTGCGTTTTTTCTATTTTTATCCTGACACACTCACACGCTCATCTGTTATTGTTGTTTCTACTATTTTGCATATTCGCTGCGCTTTTTTCTATTTTTTCCCAATACTCTTGTGTTTTTTTTTTTGCCTTGTTTATATTTCATTTCCAAATCAATGGGATTTTGCCATGGGAATTGGGTCGACGGGATATTGGGGGTATCCTTTTATGTATTGTGAGGTTTCACACACGTGCAAACAACGACAAAAGCGAGCTTTGCTTCATTAAAATTGCTTAAAATTTCTCTTTTTCTTTTATTTTTTTGGCCAACAAAAATTCGAATTCGCGCACTGCCAATGTGTGTGCAAGGTGGATATTTCAATGGGGGGGATTGGTCAATTTATTTTGTGGTTTTTAAACTGTGGCAGCCAGCGTTGCATATTTAACGGTTCACCTGCGGTTGTGCATGTGTGTGTGTGTCTGTGTTGCAATAAA